CCAATGGCATGCCTACATGTGCATGCATCAAAGTTTATTTGACCTTGTCAACTGATCAGCTGCTCGTCCATTCAAATATTCACGTTTTTGCATTCATTGACTGTGTGTAAACGAGTGCAAACGCAGAGAAGTCCTTGCACTGGACAAGAGCGATACGTATCGGTCTGTATTCCCCCTTAAGTGTTCACTGACACTGAATTGCATTTCACGGCTCTGGCACTCGATTGCACAAATAATAAGGGTGAGCACCTCAAGGCACTGTAACCACACGACACAGTACTGGAACGCTTGCCTATGCATCGCATATTCGAATTTAGGGCCGAACATCAAAAATCAATTTGTGGTCGTCTACTGCATCCAACGAATCGGCCGGAAGGCTTGATGACTATCAAATTATGCGCGCTTCATCGAATCAACGTCCCGGAGATGATCTGCTTTCATGAGTTTGAAAAGACGTCACAGCGCGAATCAGATGGATGGCAAGATTCGATTTAACATTGCGTGAGCAGCCGCGCCTTGTCTATATCATCGTATTTGTGAAGCTGAGTCACTAGGCTAAGCAACGACGATGCTTCATCAGGCCTCAACGCACGGTGGCAAGTCGTAGTCTGTTTTATGTTCTTCCCTTCTCAGTGCACTCTTTGTTATGCTGGTTGGCCATCGTGTCCTCAGGAGGAACGACATCCGTCGCCGTAAATTCAGCAATTGCATGGCATTTCGGTGGCAGACGATCGAGTGATTAGCGCCTTCGACGACAAGCGTTTATGGGCAGATGACAAGCTCCTGAGCGAGGGCAAACTGCTCGGTAGGTGGATGCTAGTGCAGGAAGGAAAAGGCTTCTGAGTCCTTCAAGTCCGTCATGAATTCAGGATTTAAACAAGATAACGACTTCAATAACCGGTAACCTTTGTCGTCGCACCAATCCAGTTGGTCCCTGTCTAAACGATGCCTCACTCCCAACAATGTACCTTGTCCAGTATATATCTGATAGGTGCGTTCTGGCCGCTGTACAATCCCCGCTGATGGTGTGCTGAAATCACGATAGCGCATACGGACTCATGTGGCCCTCGCTACGATTGCTACATCACCATCCAAAACTGCCTGTGTGTCACACAGACCTTGAGGCAAAACGGGGTCACAGACACGTCCCAGTTGTATGTTCATGTTTGTGGAATCCGCGTTCTGTGCGGCTAAAATACCTTTGGTTTGGGCTCTTTGGGAGTTACGTCTTACGTCGAGGGGAAGAATCGATGTGCACGCCGCCGTGGAGTTAGTAAGCTGCAAAAGGAAGAATTCAACAGAAATTTGGTACATTGACATCAAGACACACCTGTTCAGCGAGCACGACACCCCTAAACTTCCCTGCTACTATGGGTGTCCAATCGAGTTGGGAGAGCCAAGGGTCATCCTGCCAAGACTCGCCCCTCACCCTACCCTTAGCTTGCTCTGCGAGTTCGACAAGTCACAAGGCGCCTTTTCACTTTCCCATTTAACTCTTTGTATACCCTATCTGCATCCGCAAATGAGATTTTACAGCGCGGCCGCGGTGAATGCACGTCCAGATACCTTTGAACACTCGGGATCGGACACCCCAGAACAGATTCTACTGCTACAACCCCGACCACAATGCTCGCACTGTGCATCCCTGCCCGCGACGCCTGCGCCGGGCAACTTCACAAGGATTCAGCTGCAAGAGGCACAGACTAACGAGCACTGGCCGGTAAGTGATGTCAAACCCGGCAGCTTCAAATAACTTTGGTAGACAGCGGTGCCAACACTATGAAGGATCCATGGGTGGGCTGGTCTATGGAACGAGCACTTGCACTCTCCATGTGGTCTCAGTCCCCTTCAGGGATGGAATCGAGAGATTCTGTAGTAACTTCTCGCACCTGCAGGTGACACACTGGGTGGATTATCTGGGGCCCGACCTCTTTATCTCTTCTACTGGACAATTCCGCAAAACTTACAATCTCATTGCGGAGATGCCTGCAGGAGCCCTTGCGCTCGGACACATGGTGAGCACAACATCGCAGGGTGCAATTATCCACTGGCAAATGCCAGGGCCATAAAGCATGGAAGATTCTGGAGTTGAACAGGTCAAAATTAGAATAGGCTGTGGATTCTGATTTTAAATATTGTTGTACATCGAAACAAAAGTGCGAGTTAATGCAGAAGATTTCGATGGTTCGCTGGAAAGGCAATCAGTGGGACATGTGCACATGATGAACTTGTAAATGACTCTCCACGTAGCCATGTCGAACTTCATGATCATTTGAGTGCGATTTTCGCCGTTGAAACATTCTTAGTGAGTGGAAGGCTCGGCCCGTACTAGCCTGCCGGAATGGCCCGGCACTTTGTGTCCGGATTTCGCTCTTACATTCGTTTTTCTCTTCCACGACATCGAGTTCGTCGTACCTACAGTCTTTCTTTATCCCCACACACTACTCTCTGTAATTGAACATTCTTATGGTATGCCGTGTCAATGCATATTTCTGTTTGAATCCAAGAGTCATTCGACATGATCGAATTCGTAAGTATCCCGCCTTCCCGAGCGGTTCCACCTTCCCACCCTGAGCTAACACTCGGTCTAGCCCAACCTGATAGATCGGATCATGTCAGCGACTCTCGAGCCAGACGAAGTTGGAATGCACATCGTCGTGCTTAGTATCGGAACCGGCCGCTCTAGCAAAGAATTCAAGAAAGCCCACAAACTTTCCAAATTCCGAGAACGCACTTCCCCTTTTCAAATTTCAGGGGCTAGAAAATATTTCACTTCTACTCTCCAGCACGCATATGGTACCAATACTTAGGATCAAAGTTACGACTTGAGGTGACCGCTCAGACTTACCATCGCTGGCTGAAGGAAGATGGACTCATATAGCTATATCATATCACCACACCCTCCGGAGTGTGCGGATAAAAACAGACCTATCGCCCAGACTTGGCTAAAATTTCGTCATATTATCGCAGACCGTAAGTATCAGTACTTGTCAGGAAAAGCTACTTATCATACAGGGCAGTATCAATCATAACACAGCACCCAAGCTCCTCAACTTTATTTCATGAACCACCCGAGGCTGCGGCATTTCCCGAGGCCTCTTCTTGGTCCTTTCTGAGTTTCTCGACGTAGATGAACGTCATGATGATGATATCCATCATATGAGCCACTTCAGGTGATACTTCCAGCATGGTTTCACGTTTCCTTCCTATGATTCCGAGAGTTGCTCTATGAAAGCGAGCGACTTCCGTTCGAGACGCATCGTCCCGTGAGAGCTAAAATCCAACTCCTCATGTGAGAAACAGAGCATCTGCATTAATGGAGTGGAAGCGTACTCACAACTACCACTCTGGACTTGAGGTCCCAACAATAGGGACGGCTATCTGCTCCTATGAAGACGCGCTGCCTGCCAGAATTTTATTATGACGGCCCAGATTTCCTAGGACGCTGTGTACTCACCGACCCAATAGGCCTCTCTTCGGAATGAACTCCTTCGTCTCTATTTCAGTTCCACCATAACGAAATTTTGAGGAAGCAAAGGTGTGCCACTCGATCTCTCCCAAGACATCGAACTGGTCTTGCATATGATGCTGGTCGTCATTTGGCTTGATTTTCCAAATAGTCGTAGTACGGACGCCAAGTAGTTGGAATGGAGTCTCTGTTTTGTAAATAATCTGTCCTTGCTCGTTGGTGATAATAGTATTGCGAACGTGTTCAGTGGAGAGGGTGAGCTGCATTTAAAGTAGATGTGCATTGTGACTTGTTGTGTGGCTGTTAAATTTAGTCGAGTCTAACTTAACCTTATTTAAATGCCAGGGTAATTGGACGAGCGTGCTCTTTAGACTTTAGCAGACTCATTCCTCGGATCTCCTCTGCGGAGGGCTGTCCCTTTGCTACCACAGTGTAGCTGATGCCCTGTGCGTCGCGCAGCATGACGGTTGTGTCACCTCCTGTAGTGGAGTTAATGGTCTATGTCTAGCGAGACTCGGTGAGAACGGTCCCTTTGCCTCTTCTCGCTCAAATCACTTGTCTCGCTAGGTACGCCATCTATTGTCGATTCTCACTCGAATCACTCGTCTTGATAGCACGTTTATTTTGTTCACCCACCCTTCTTTATGTACCATCCAGTTGTACGATATGTACTTGGACCGAGTTTGGAGCTGTCTGGTCTCCTAATCCATCATGATGGGATCCCCCGCCCTCGCGGCGGGGTCCTTTTTTGCTGGCTAATTCCTCGTCGTCTGCGTCCCCACGAGACCTGAGCAAGGACAATTAGACATCCCAACCTAGCCGCGAAAGCCCCAGACTGGCCATAGGCTATAGAATTTGGCCCTGGAGTCTACGTGGACGTGGAATAGCCCGACAGTGGCCAGATCCCTGACTTTCACCTAGTCTGGTGGTCAATGGTCACCCCTGCTCATTCTGACTACAGCAGACACTTTTTCATGTAGATACTCAACGAACACTCTTACGACACTTCTTTGGACTGTAAATTTCAAATCCCGGACTGCAAACCTTACCCAAAGGACCGACAATCATTCACACGTAGAATTCGAAGGCGGAGTCGGGAACTGGCGCGTCAGCGGCGCTACGATGAGTCAGTTACGTCTTCAAGCTTCAAGTTCCGACGACGATAGATGTAGTCTAAGTCTATGGACGTGATTTCTTCCATCAGCTTGTTTTAATGTGTCTGCTCATTGAATATGCGAAGACACTAGCGGTGCAGCAACGATCAAGGAGCAATTGCTGTTCCGTCGGTTCTAGAGAACCTGAACGTTCGTTGCGACTGAAGAAGTTTCCGTGGACAGTGCGCGATTAACCTTACGAATTAACGTGTATTCTAATCAAAAGAATGGGAAAGTAAGTAAAGCATGATACTACATGGAGTCTAGGCTGCGGTACAACAACGATGACAGCAAAAGATACCCTATATGTGCACCATCTGAGAACGGACAACTCAGATGGTGATTCCAGTAAGAGGAGCATGCAAGAGATGCGACATTCAAAGCTCGGACCTGTGAACCCGTGTAATGAGGTCCATGTCATCACTACCACCGAAGGTCGTGTGATGACTCTCCAAGCTGAAGACGCGGGACCCAGATTGAGGACAGTCGGTCCCCTCAAAGCTCTCTGACTGCTGGAGTGGTGTAGGAGCATCGACATAAACTTGAAGAATGGAGGGTTGCGCGGGAGGGTCGGGGAAATCGGAGAGGGTGGACATGCGTGAGTACTCAGACCCGCTGGTCATGTAGCTCGATCGCATGGTATCTGAAGAGGGAGGCGGCGATTGGATGAACGAGATGGGACTGACCAGGTCAGCTTCTTCGGCGGCGTCGTGGATCGAGGCGTATGCAGAGCTTCTACGAGAGCTCTGGTGAATGGTGGATTTTCCTGCAACGTCAACAACATCTTGCCGGATGCGGTGACCTGTGAGAGACGTTTGTTAGCTACTGATTGAATCCGACAGAGTGTCGCGTACCAAAAGTGTCATTCTCTTGTGAGGCGATCAGAGGAGAAGATGCTCGAGAGGATTCGATATCTTCTGGAACACTCGCTTCAAAGGGTGCTTCGTAAAGTTGTACTGGCGACTCGGTAACAGCGCAGGGATCGACCTGCACCGGTGAAGGAGTCCTCGACATGTCCATGAAAACATACGTTTGAGATAGTTCATCCGATCGTTGATCCCCTGGCCCGCCTGACCTCTGCCCATGGGAGAGATCCGAGGCCGCCACATGCAGTTCTCCAATCTCGCTCATGCTGCGCATGAGGTTGGTGAGTGCGCTTCCAGAATAAGAGCTATGAATATCCGACGGTATACCCCTGCTGGTTTCGCTTGCATCCTGATGTTTTACGCTAGATTTTCCACTGGACGGCCTGCTCTGGGGAGGCCTGTAGAACAAATCTTGAAATTCGTCCAGATCATCATTATCCAAACCTGAAATAACAAGATGTGCGGATGTGATGTTGGTCGTAGTACGGAGGGCACCAGGAGAGTGGGTGGCGTCCCTGCCTTCGATTGCTGTCACGGATATCAGACTCGGAGGACGAGTAGAAACGACCACAGAGTCAGAACCGGATATCCGGTATCGACTAATATTGGAGGCCATGGGCGCGGGTGTCGAGTCTTTGGCCTTCCCCTTGTCTACGATTCGACTCAGAGTATCCTGCTGGCACGGGATGATAGTTCCGAAAGATTGATCCTCGGAGTCAGTTTCCTGCTCGTCTCGCAATGGCGCAGCGAACACAAGAGCCTCACCAACGCCATACTTCTCGAAGTCAGGACTACTGATGGATATGTGGTTACCAGATGGGAAACCATTATCTTCATGCACAGCGCTTGGCGGGACCGGAAGCGTAGGAAGGACAGAGTTACTAGGCTGCCGTGCATGCGAGTTTACCGGCTCGCTTAATGGAGCAGCGTAAGGATGTGAGATTACACCCGGCTGCATTGCCCGCGGTGGGAGCCTGTGACGCATGCTGACGTCGGTTGTAGCAGTATTCGAAGGGAGTTGGGGGTCGTAGGCTGATGGATGTGGCCCAGCATAATCAGATACTTTAAGGTCATGCTGTAGGCCATGCTCAGAGGATGGATTAGGATAACGTGTATATATGGCACCGGTGGCATATGGATGGCTAGGCATGCTTGGGAGTTCGCGATCAAGACAGAAGCGATCGTCGGAAGGAGGGGGAGATGAAAGTGCGATACCGACTGCTTCCCCACTTGGTGTAGTCGGGGCTGGAGAAACCCCTATGACGATGACGCCTCCCTCGTCGACTTCGTTGTGCGAAGAATTCGCAGGGTTACTCAAATGTATGACTTTGGTTTCCTCCGTCATAGGTTCCAGGGCTGGTTTCTTGTTCTCAACAGGGGTGCCTAGCAAATCACTAAGATCTCCACAAGGTGCGCATGCTTTAAGCAGGGCAGTTTTTCCCCAGGAGTCATTGCGGGCATGCCGAGTGCTTTGAGGTTGAGGATCCGTGAGCGACCTTTGCGAATTGGATTTACCAAGGGAGTGTGAGTGTGAGCGTGTGAATGAGTATGAACTAGAGCGCCCGCGAGAATTCGAACTAGCAGTGTGTGAATGGGAATGAGATCGAGAATGCGAAGTTCTTGCAACGTTAACAGCAGGGGCAATACTCTGACTTCCGAGGAGCGTTCGTGCAGCCAGATATTCTAGGGTCGTACTGCCCTCCGGCTTGTGCCCATGACTCCGTGACAATGACCTGGCACGAGCGCGGGAGAGGGAGCGGGTCTGGCTGTTCCCGAACGAGTGTGAGGCCTGGTGTTGCCACTGCCTTCGTTGTTCTTCTAGAACCTCGCCTTCTTCAAGAACTCTGCAGGAGTGCTTGGTTATTGGTTAGCTACCTATATAAATTGTAGCTTACTGGGTTAACGATGGCACAGGGGTTGACGGACGGAGTTCTTGTTGCGCGGTCGATGCGCCCGGTACAGATTCTGGCTCCCCGAGGTTTATGCCCTCAATTGGGTCTGGGCGCCGTTGCATGGGCGCAGTACGAGGTCTACTAGAAATAGAGGGGCCAGACAGGACATCAACAGCCGATCTAGATTTCAACAAAGTATGGTGTTCCTTCAGTGTATCAGTTGTAACCAACGACATCTGTGGTCTCCCGCCAAGTAGAGCAGGACTGAGGCGCGGGGTGGCACCCTCAGCGACAGGCGTGATTGGCGGACTGAGGATTCGTCCACTGCTTCCTCCATGTGGCTCATGTACGTGCTTGACTTTTAGGCGTGGACGTGGAAAGAACAGTGCGTTGCACCATGTCTCAGGGGACAGCCAGCGTTCCACGCCTGATACCGGCGGCGTTGATTTTGTGTTCTGTTGCGAAGGCTGCTTGTCGCGTGATGTAGCAAAAAGATTCGGGGTGGAGACAGAGGGCTTGAGTGGTGACTTCAAGGGACGTGCATTTTTAACCAATGTGGCAGCACGATCACTGCGAGGGTCGATCGCATAGCTGAGTGCCCGATTACGCCGAGTGGGATTATTGTGCGAAAAATGAGTACTTTGTGAGCCCGAATCCAGTTGTTGACCTCCTTGACGAGATTGTTGAGAAGTTTCGGGTCGAAGAGCAGACACAGAAACAGAGGGGGATGTATTTGCATATGGATGAGCCATAAACATAGTTGGAGAGTCATGGTCTGTGGTCGGGAATGAAGGAAACAAATCATGGTCAGGTTTTCCATGCAAGTCGACGTGCCGGGCGGAATGTTGGTTGGATGGAGAGGGATCTACAACGTCAACCCGTGGCGGGTAATGGAGGATGTGAGTTCTGCGGGATGGCCGTGGCAATGTGACATAAGGTGAGTCAAAGTGATTGCCAGCGTTGAGATTAGAACCTGAAGGTTTCGCAAAATTAACGTTTTCTTGGAGTGTACTATGTTGAACAGAATTGGGAAGCCATGTTCCCGGCATGTTAGTCCGAATAGGGGATACAGGTGTACTGGTTGATTGTCTTTTTGACTTTTTCCTAGACCCGAACCCGAAGAACCGACCCATTTTTTTCTGAGGGGACGACATTGTAATACGCTGTATAGGCATTGGGGATTCGCCAACGCCAGCGCTAGCATCCATGGTGTGAGTGAGGATTTGCAAGGGTGCACTTGCCTGTCGCCGTCGAGGATGCGGCCGTATCGGGTCGATGACACTTGTTGAGCTCGTGGTACGCCTCGTGAAGTCAGAGCGAACTCGGGTTCTGGGGAACCCAGTTGATTGTGCACCTAGTCTTACTGGTTCGGCATCGTTCACGGACGTGTCCCGGTAGCGGTCCAGTAATTGAGAGTCTTCCAGAAATGCATTCACGTCATCCTGGCTAACGGAGTGTCTCATGGTATTTTGCTTAGCCATTGAGACGCTTTTGGGTGGTTCTAACGGGCCATTGTAGGGAATATACCAGTCTTCTTCAGGGTGTTCAGCATAGGGAGAACGTGATGAAGACCCTGTTTTGTGATTCGGAGAAAAACCAAGCCGGGGTAACATGGAGAACGGGATGCTGCTGGTAGTCTTTGCGCCCATCAAATTCGGAACGTGTGAGAACGAAGATTTCAAGTGTCGACCCTGCAGATTGCAAAACCACAAGTTCATGATGTTAAGGTGGGGAAATTGAGTGAATCGTGAACACACCACGTACGTTGTACCTGGTACTTGAAGAAATCAGCTCAAAGATGTCCCCGCACCAATTTTTTTGCGGCAAAAACAGAGCAAGATGTAGCCCAAGCCTCTCCGCGTGATACTTGATCATCAATAATGCATCAACACGGCCCCGGATAAGGAACGGGTGCAAGTACTGCCTCACCTATGATGAAGACAAGAAAGTAAGGATAAAGAGCGGAGTAACAGTCATGAATAGGTTATCAGAGTGTCTCCGTATGAGGCCAATGCCCTCACAGTGCCCACAGAGCCCGTGCTCAGCCGCAATGGTTAAATTTCAACAGTAATATTAATTGTGTTGAAATCACACCGGTAGTAGTAATATCAGTGTTACCCACGTGTGCACTCATCGATCATCACTTACTTAATTCGCTACGAATGATTTTCCCACGGTTGCCTTGATAGCTTGCTCGTTAGTTAGAACTCTAGCTCATAATGGCGGTCAACATGTGCACGAGCATTTACAAGGCATTCATAATTAATTTCATTCCACATCATCGTACTCATGATGGCAACATCAAACAGCATTTCTCACCAGGGAATGTACCGCCAACCGCGACATAAACTTGAAATAGAGATTCGGATGAGCGACGCTGGCTTCAGTTGACTCTCCGCAGGCCTCTATCTATAGCACAGTCACTGGGAATATTGGCGCCAAATGCTCGGCGTGCTCCCGGGACCTGAATCTAGCTTCATGGTTGGGGTTGTTGAACTGGAAAGGAATATTCCTGACAGCGCAAGTTCTGTTCCATGATTCGAAGCATGTCAGATAAGAACGACGAGAAAGAAAGGGAGCCGTGCACTTCATTGATGACATACCAGCACTCACTGGGATCCCATCATTCCACCGATTCTTGGTGATCTGTAAGTGGGTACCACCCGTTCCTCCCCAATTCACTAGGGTATTATTGACATATAGCCTCTCACACCACCATTTGGGAACGTTACGTTGTTGAGTTATCTGTAGCGTCTGTATACATGGACCTTAGGTTGAACGGGCTGATATATGTACGTGCGTATATGACCGAGGAATTGTTCATAACGAGTGCAGCTCACGGTACTGTAATATATGTCCTATGCGGCGCTGTCAGTATTCGTATCATAGCCAGAAAATCAGATATACTTATCATGAATCCATAGTAACCTGGTTTGTTAAACCACCGACTGGAGCTATTTAGACATAAACCTGTAGAGTTTTCAGAAACTTATCTCAGTCTCAGTCGACCCCAAGAAACCGTCTTGAAGGTGAGCGCTAGCGCCAGCCATGAGGGGGTGAGACTATAGCAGTTCATGGCAGCATGCGTCGAGTGCGTCTCGTCTAGTCCAAGATTAGGCTCGTGACAAGCTGGCTTATTTATAGCATACTACCAGGCAGGCTGCAGGCTGGACAGGGCCTCCAGGGCGAAGCTGGGAGTTTGAAATTTAGTGCCACGGTGTCGATCGTGTCGGCAACTTTTACGTGTCTACTATGTTAACCTCCGACCGTGAATTTTATCAACTACGCTCCTATGTCTCATGATCAGTCACAGTATTGATAAGTACCACATGAGTGCATCTAAAAGTCGCAATGAAGCCCAGGCCATAGGGAGTGCAGTGAATTGAACGGCGCCCAATCGGAGTAAGAGAAACGTGATGTATGTGTGAATGAGATACTACTACCGCTCATCCCATTTAAGAAGACACTCATCAAGGAGTGTACGTAGTAAATGTATGTTCACTTTTACAAAAATTTATCAGCCGGAAGAGAAAACCAGATACGAGGAAAAAAAACTCACGTATAAGCGAATCCAACGCGATCGCTATCCGTGTCGAAAACCTGCAATTCAATTAATACCTGGACTACATAGTCACCTCGCGGTTCGACAACTCACAGCATAGTACTTCTCCATGAACTTCTGCCCGATGATGAAGTCTAGCCCTTCGCCGCTGTTAGTCCCTAAGTATGAGACAAGACCGTACTGCGTGTTTGCTGACAAGCCCCATGCGGTGTTCTGGTCAATCGGAATGAGTTGCGCTGCAGCATCCAGACTGAAGACGGTGCCGCCGATAGTAAAGTTCAATGGTTCGATTTTCGAGACGGAGCTTTCAGGGACGGTCATGAGGCCCGTGCTCTCATCGAGCTTGGCACCAGGGATGGCACGCAAGTAGGACTCGAAGAAGTTATCAGCGAGCAGGATCACTAGAAATGTGTCAGAAAGTATGCATGTGGATGGGTAATAAAGCCCTACGGGTGGTGCCAGTATCGACGATTCCGGCGGTTGACGTTGGGATAACGGTCGTTGTGGAGCCGTACGTTGCATCGGTGACATTGACGCCCCAGTAGTAGCCAGCAGGGTAAGTTGCGGTGACCGGCGTGTAAGTGATTTCGCCGGTGTACTGGATAAAATTCAGAACTATTGTTTGAGACATATTTTGGGGGCTCACCAAAGACGAATCAATGCCTCCATAAGTGAGGGCTCCATCTGCGCGCAAATTAGATCACCTTCAATTATATCATACGACCGCTCTTACTAGTGTCATTGTAACTCGTTGCAGGTGCGAAAGAGACACCTAATATTTCCTCTGTGATCAAACCCTGCGAGAGAGCGTTGTTCATGACAGTGGGAATCAGCTCGTCGGTACTTGGTGAGAGTGTGCCCTCAGTCAGAATGACGGGGCCCACTCCGACGATGCCATCGACGCCCTCGAAGTCGGCATAGGAAAGAGCATCACCGATGGACTGGTTCGTGATGACAAAACCTGGAGCGAGCGTCACCTGGTCGAGATCTGAAGGTCAAATTTTCAGATGTTACCGTTCCCGAGTAGCCCAAAGACCTACACTCCAAGCCAGAAAAGTAACCACTGCCGTAAGTGACGTTGACGTCCTCACCAGTGAAGATACTGGTCGAGGTCTGGACATACGTCTTCCCAGTTCTTAAGATAAAATGAGATTTGGCCTGAGGGAATAACCAATCAGGTCTTACCCGACAAAAGTATTGGAGCTACCAGTGTCAACAACCAAATTGTAGTATGTCGGAGGGCTGCCAACGCCAACACTGGTTGTGTACTGGACATATGCGAGGTTGGATGCAGGGACGGTCGTAGGACCGCCAGAAGCATAGTTCTTGAGGAATGCAGCACGTGTACGATCAGCATCAGGCAGTCCCGCAAGGTAGGAGCTAGGAGGCGCAAGCTTCGTCAGGGGAATTCTAAGGAAGCTTGAAGCCGATACAGAGGTCACAGTGGCGAGGAGAACTGCACGAAGCAGGACTGAGAACGACTGCATGTTGAAAAAAAGAGCGGGGACTTTGATAATGCACCACGAATGACCAAAGGAGGCTTATATGGGTTGAGGCAACCGATAACCACATAGTACTGACAGGACTCGCCTGAAGGAACACATGGAAGTTGAAAGTCTCCATATGAGTCGATATAAATAAACTGGAAGACATACGCAGAGCCAATGATAGCATGTGACATTTTCCAGCATATTCAGGTTTTGCTACTAAAGCACTGATATTTGAACAGAGTAAGCATAGGTAAGCATGCGATCAGCGATTCATGAGCATTAATAATGCGAGATTGTTCAGCTCCGTAGAGTAGTGACATGGTCGGACCTGTGGTACTATTCCCACCCATCGATCACACTCGTCTCCTGAGCAAGAAATACCATGCGTCATATGGCTGGAAGTTAAATAATAGGCACACGACTCACGAGTAGTCCGAGAGTCGGAGACCAATCAGGACTACTGAGCCATGAAGTCTAGAAGGTAGCAGACGTGCAAAAATATCCCGCAATTGAGTCCTCCTAGACATTTCTGGGTCGCTGTGCTCCCGAGCAACAGCAGGTGACGACTACAATTCCTGCTCAGCCTGACCAGGCAGCGATGGGCGCATTGAACAACGAATGCGTTGCCAATTGCTATTAATAAGACTACCAAACTTGTACCAAATAAAACCACATGTGCTCACGGCAGGCTTGCGGCAGGCGAACCTTAACACCCACACCGCGAGTTGTTTCCGAGGTATCCTCTGCCGGCAGCCAAGTATGGAGGAGTGCTTTGTAAAAACCATCCAGGATAATACTCACGTATAGAGGCCCACGGCGGACAGTTCGGCGATAGCACCATCAATCCTCTGTTGTCCGTACCGCTCGTTGTATGGTTATATGATATCAGAGCTTCAGTGGAACATCTTTTGGTCGGTCGGTGATAGTAATACTAAGTTCCCGAGAAAATAGCCACTCCTGATGGCAAGTTGCATTGACACGCAAGTCATTTACGGATCTTGCACTGGAGCCGTGTACGGCCTTACGCCGCTGATCAGATGTCTCCCACAAAGCTTGTGGAAACGGGATAACCCAAAGCCGGTAAGTTACACTCTGCCTTCAACGTTCGTATATTCACTGTTACAGGTCTTTCAAAGAGCCATGACTTCCGATGTGACTGTCGGTACCAAACTTTGCCATATCATCGGCCACCCATCTCTCTCTCCTTGTTTCCCAATCTGACGTCTCTTACCTGATGTGGGGCAAGCAATGAGACGTTCCAATATATCTAGTTGCTACCCCGAAATTGATGACACTCAATATCAATCCTCAGCCGTCAATCCATCCGAACAGTCCAAGATGTCTCTCTTGTCACGTATCCTAACGCAGTGCCCTTTTGTATCCGATTTCGTATTTTCTGCAAAATCAGGAGATACATCGAACGTGTTGCATCGCCGGTCTCATCTAAGATCAGTGAGCACCGGAGAAGTTTTTGAGGTAGCCATGCCACACTTGTCTAATTTGCCTTCACTCGGATTTTTACGCTTCGAATTATCTTCCACACCCATATCTGCGCAGTGCGGACACAGCCGAATCAAGTACTAAAGTAATATAAACCAGTCCCATAGGACCTAAATTGGCTGCGACAGTGACTAATGTTGGTGGCATTGACAGTGTTCGCCAGAGCCCCGAGATGTTCCAAGAATCCATTGATGAACTCAAGAGCCATCTGAAAGATAAGATCGCACCATTTGGCGTAGACATCAAGTGGGCGGCAGTGCTCGGAAGACAAATGTAGGTGCCCCTTCCTCCATCCACAGACAGATAAGTCTAACACAGGCCCTCATTAGTACGACTACACAGACAGTTAACGTGCTTTTGGACATCATTATAAACAGCGGGGCTGCACTTTTCGTTTCTGACTTCAATTTCCCGTCTGTCCAATGCTTGTGCGAACAGTACACCGGAGCGGGTGCTGATCTGCATCATTGACCGGTCGGCTAATCATAACACTCCGATTAGTGTTGCTACAACTATTACTCTTTCCCCCCACAATATTCGTAAGCTGGAGTTCGTCATCGTTCCAAACTGTAGTGTGCAGTCGGATGATGCCACCCTTTTGCAGATGGCCAAGGCGTGGTCCCTACCGGAAGAGTTATTCATCTTTACCTGTTCAAGACATCGTATCACCGCAAATACCTTCGCCTCACTGTATTATTGCCCATGTCTAGTCTGACATCGCGTTGCCATACATTGGTCTGCTGTAGACGAGACAATCCCCTGACGTTCTCCTCTCTGGATTTTCGTGCAATGCGTTGATTGTGGCACACTTTGGTAACTCAAGAGTTCGCCATCCTACAAAGATCGATGGTTTCAGTTTGGCTGTGGCACCTAATTTGATAGAAATCGCTGCATAAGAGATCTCTTTCTACAAGATGATCCAGCAGCCTATAGGAGCTCAGGTTCGTCCAGCGGTCGATTGAGTCTTTCTCCACGGAAAATCTCGGAAATGAAGATGTCGGAGGTCCACCTGATAACTACCATGACGGAGCTGTACAAGCGCCACAGGAGACCGTAAATGGGGAATCAGGCTGGTAGAGACATTAATGAGGATGAAGGGGATTCCGAGGAAGATAGCGGAAGTGAAGGCGAATTCATCTGACCAAATTTCATCAGCCTCATCGGAGGAATTAAATGATTCGAAACGTTCGCAGACGAAGTACTCAGTTTTCTTTGCGATGATTCGTCTTATCTTTTCCTTCTACCACGGTACCTCGAATTTGAAGTATCAATTGCAGCGCAATCATTTCTTTCAATTTATGGACTTCCATCGTCCTTCCGGCCGTTTTGGTTGCAAGATAGAACTCTCGTTTATCGCTTCCATCGATCTTTCGCTCCCCCATTCCCATTCTATGATTGCAATCCACTGTTAGGCACGCATTTGCCTGTACCCAAGCATCTCCAATACTTAGTCGGTTTGAAACTATGTTTAGTCACTGAGATCCCCACCTATCCCAGCATCTCGTCATCAAGCTAACTTGGTTCTTGCCCAACACCTGTCGTCATTAGGGCGCGCCTGAAATGTTGCTGCATCATTTGGTTGGTTGAAATTTGTAGTTGTGCTTCGCGTATTTGGACGAAGTTTCAGGCGAAGGCACCACTGACATATCGAGAATAATGAGCTGGGTTCAACTTGATCAATTAAAGGCGCAATCTTGATGCCTCCAGATCTAAATACACCGTGTCAAGAGTACCCAAGACCGCCCTGCGATTGCCATCACTTGGGGTGAGGTGAGACAACCTCTCAAGCTACTTCAGGCCATTCCCGTGCAATGATATTCTGTTGCTCTTCCTCCGTCTCCGCGAAGATGATGAGCTTCATCACACCTTGCGCTTCCTCGAAACTCTGGAACAACCGGTGCTTGATCTTGTTCATGATGCAGTATTCCATCAATTCGTTCTCTCCATTCGGCTTGTACTTGACGAACAGACAAGTCGCTCCCCGCGCTGCGGATAGGTCTGAGACGCCATCACCGAAGAAGAATACTATCGGGGCGGGTTGCATATTCCTGTATGGGGCAATCGCCTTCGACTTGTCATGTCCGAAGCCGCTAATTTATCATGCTCAGTCAAACGCGAAACAGCGATATGTGATGTTACCTCTCGGGATGACGGTATTGAATGTCCCAGCTCCCATCATCATAGGTTTTCACCTCGTTCGATATTATTTGAATACCGTCGAGGCTAGCGAGGTGCTTGTTTAGCACTGCACGGATGATAGGTTCCATACCACTGCGGAGGTATGAATTTACTGAGCACGGTGAAACGATATTTTTTGTACCTGGACACAATTACCACGGGTATATCAATCGTTCCGCAGAATTCGTAGAAACCCTTGAAAGTATCATCGACTTTGATGTCTGAAACAGTCTAGACATTAGCTCCGGACAACAAACGCCCATCCGGTGCGTGGACAAAACTTACTGTTCGCAACCGCATTTTTACAGAACTCGAATGTATGTTTCACCTTGCCTTCCTCCTTGCCATTCTCGACGACGCTCACGATCATCTTCCGGAAGGCATCCCTGGATGACGAAATCAATTCTGCAGCTTTGTTCATGCAATGTTTCGCACCGGAAGTTATCTTCGCCATTACGTATACGCTGATTGAGGGCAAAGCGATCTGTGCGCCCCATCCCAAAAGTGTCCGTCACAACTGAATTGTAGCACTTCAGTCAGAGCAAGGCACATAGTAAGTTCTCGACGCAACGAACAATCATTGGAATCCTGCGTGGTGATCGTGCCGTCCCTGTATGAGTAGAGCGAACCGCAGTCAGTGCTATCGCCGCGTAGATCTAGATCTAGCGTTTACGCACCAATCGCTGAGCACGATGAATTTCTTGCCGTAGTAGATGACTGGTTCACTAAGAGGTGATTCCTGCGACATTGCAGAACGGCGGGTTGTCTAGTATGTTCGGATATATATTGTCTAGCAAGATAGAAGGAATGAGTACTAATGAAAGATGGTGAAGCCGAGTCCGTGAGATATGGGGCGATAAGTGTCAGTGACAGGTGGTGGCGCAGGGTTAAGGTTGCACGTTGGTTAATACAAAGCGAGCGCCAAACATTATCTTATCTCTCAAACTCGCGTTAACGCTGTTCTGTGGCAACAATTTAAATTATGTAGATGCTAATAAATGCTTCTATACGGACATTGGGATACTGCTGAAATAAAGTAGATGGAACAACTAAGGACACAAACCTTGAAAAAAATACACATCTAAGCTGCACGGGTCTTGCCCTCTATATCGACTAAGAGGCTGTATCTATACTACCAGACGGTTGTCTATGATTTTAAAATAAAGTCGTGCGCTCTATCACGCGCACCTACCAGTCAATCTCAGAAGGGAAGAATTTAGCAATGAGGCCCTCGTAGTATGGGCGAAGTTTTTCAGTATCGCAGGGCTCGTCACTCTTTGAGTAGAGATCATAAGGGTTGAAGGCGCGAACGGCCTGAAGGGCTACGCGATCCTTCTCATTCATGAGGTGCGTGTAAGCTCCCTCACGGTGCCATCTAATTAGACATTGTAAAAATCCGGTGGACAGTGCAGACTGAGATAAGCTTACGGATAAAAACTGTGATACCTGATCATAGCAAGTCCTTCTGCAGGAAGCGAGCTCTGATCCTTAACGACACTGTAGAGATACTGCAAGAATTTTGATAAGCAGAAAAAATACAATATGTAGATAGAAACATACCTCGTCATGACCCCAAGACACCATAACATTATCAAGGCCGCAGTTAGGCTCATAAATTCCATGCTGCGTGGAATAAACAGCGTCGTGGAAGTCTGGGTTGCCGGCGAAGGTATCGGGGTATATGTTTTTATCGGAGAAGGCGCAGCCGACCACGAAGGTATCCTTGCGTAAAGAAGCATATCAGTCTGCATGTCGTCACGAGTACCAGATGAAGGAACCTACACCGACAACGTCCCACTGGCCTTCACTGCCAAATAGGTACAGCAGCTTACCAAGGTCGTGGATCAAACCGGTAACTTGCATCCATTCAGGCTTGCCGTCGCGTCGGATAGCCTCGGCAGTCTGGAGCAAATGCTCAATTTGCGAAAGTTCAGTCTAAATATATATTACAAATCAGCAAAGGAAAATCGCAAGCCAATAAATCACTGACATCTGGATCCGAGTCATCTACAAGCGTATTGAGCATTTCCATAGCTTGCCAGATACCCATGCGAGCGCGTTTCCGGCTTTTGAATTCCATGCGGGCCTTGATGTTGTAAGCTACAGTCTGTTTTTCTACATGGTAGCGTCAGTACCACGCTGTCAATTAGTAGATCGGATGTATGACACACCATGTTGCTCTTTGTAAAAATTCTTGACACGATCGCAGGCAGTCTCATACTGCCGGAAGTTCGTCTTGTCTTTGGTAGAATCAAACTCAGACTGAGAGTCCCAAATTTTGGCCTTGAGAACATTTACTGCAGAGAGACGGTAAGTCAAGTCACAAAGCGGTAGAACGACATGATGAACACATACCGTCATCTACTGCATCGGAAACAGCGTCGAGCTCATGTCCGGCATGTGTGCTAATAACAACAGCAGGCATGTCTAAGAGTAATAGCGAAATGAAGGTTTTGGGAGAGGAGCGGGAGGCTTAGTGGGAATGAGAGTCCTCGAGACAAAGCAGGCTGCCTTATATACGAATGCGACCATCGCAAGCACCAACAGAACCTGAAACTGCCCTGCACCGATTCACAGTCCGTGTTTCCACAAAATTGATGACGATAATTTGAAAGATTGACAACTTCCTTATTAGTATGTCGGTCGGTCCCTTTGCAAATTGGTGCCGCGGACCCTTCCCGCAAGCCCATGCCGACCCTTGCCGACCACGTGGCTCTTGCGTGGTTCCGATGTTGTCTCGGCTCACGGAAGAGTTGATCTGATCGACGACCAACGTTGTCTGCAGACAACAAGTACTGTGTAGTTGGTGGCCGAGTCATCGTGCTGAAGTTCCCGACAACGATACTGCCGTTGTCGGCCCATCTAATAACACGTTCTGAGTCCTGACTCCCCGTCAAGGTTTGCACAGGATCCGGAATTACTTAGTCTAACTCACTCTAACTCTCGTTCGCTTCCGTGATCCAATATTGAGTCGATGGCAACCTAACCTAACCTAATCTCACTTTCCGCTGGCGTGACAATCCGAGCAACCGCAAGAATAGTACAAGGCCAAGCTGACAGCTGAATTTTTTCTCTTGGTGCAGCCCTTACTCAGGTTCACATAATTCCTGAGCCCATCGGAATGCAACAACTTGGCGTTCCATAAAGCACGGTAAAAACCGGACAGACTCATGCCCTTATGGCAGAAAGTCAAGTTGCCGTCATGACTAGCGTGCACGTATCACACAGCTCCAGCTAATGATTTGTTAATTCACCTCAGCTTTGGCCATAAGGTATCCTTCGAGATTCTACTTTGCTGGCTGGGCGAATCAAGGAAATTAACCAGAATCTCCGAGTCTTGATCTGTTTGCGTCAGTCTAGAAATCTGCTCCAGCAGGTGTGGGTCTTTTCGCCAACTGTGACTCGTCAGGCCAACAATTGTCCCACGGACTCTAATACATTTATGGACACTGGATGTGGTCAGAACCTGCACGCGATAGTCCTAGTATGGATGATGAGACGAGTTTACGAGCTGAGCACCTCTCCTTCAGGTTACACTTAACCATCATGCCCGTGGTCCTTCTCTTTGTGCTGGCACATGCGCGATCAGAAGATACTATGTATCATCCATCGTCTTGACAAGTGATGAGCTGTCATTTCTATCCCGCGGACGACTGGCCATAACCTCAAGGAGCACTTTCAGGATTGCAGAGTGGTCGCACGCTTGTTTACAATGATAGCCCGCTAAAATCCTTGCTCCGATCCGAAAATTCTACCGCATCTGACATGTGTACCAGATCAACTGTATTGTCTGCCGGTTTGCCCCATGTGAATGGAGGCACTTCCTTACTCCTGGGCTGTGTCATTGCATATGTTTCGTTCCTGTCATTTATTTGCCAGTGCGTCGGCTAGTCAATGGTGTGAAAATGTATCTATGAATTACATGCAGCTCTACTGATGCAGACGGTTTCATGTCTGCCTCAGATACTACAGTCGTGCTCTCCAATTTACCTATGATCATTCATACACATCAATGAATGACTGCGCCTATCACTCACTTAGTTGGAACAGGCCAATTATCGAAGCCGAGGTCAATACCTGGATAGCGCATTTCAGTACCGTCATTTTCTCAGCTATTATCAACACTTACCCCAAGGAGGCATGATGAAACGCTTCTGCTTGCCCCCTGCGGCTACACCGTCAAGGATTTTAATGTCCTCTGGTGTCAGCACACTGTAGGCCTCTAGCGCGCCGGTCAAGTTAGACTCGATACGGGACGGTGTCACTGATTTAGGAAGGACAATGATATCCTTCGCCACTGCGATCAGACACGTCAACCATCATCATCTTGCACAGGGCGAATGATAAACATGAACGTACGCAGGTAGCCGAGAAGGACATCGGACGTGCTCTTGAGGCCATACTTCTTTGCGATCTCTGTGGCAGACTCATCGGTCAACAGTGGAGAGTTGGTCGAACCAAGGGGCGAATATGCTTGTGGAACAATTGTCTTCGACTTCAAGTACTCAAGAAGTTCGAGCTGAGGATTGTACAGATGAATTTCGAGCTATGTATTTCAATGGTCAGTTTTGAATGGTGACATTACGTCGAACACACCTGATTAACAGCCGGGATGATCTCAGCTGTGGGCAAAATCCTCTCGAGTACCGTCTGGGAGAAGTTTGATGCGCCGATCGCCTTGACTTTACCCTTCTTTACCATGGCTTCCATACCCTTCCAGGTGTCTATGAGGTCCCGGGATTCATCGATGTCACGGTTTCCGTTCGGGCGCATCGGCATGACAGGGTGATTCCCATTCGGGTTCATCGCGATAGGCCAGTGCACAAGGTAGACTGGTAGTTCATACTATCAGCGTCAGTCAAACAACCAGAGAAATGCCGATCCCACGGTCAAGATATGTTGTTCCCAGGTTTGACAGTGTCTGGTCGAGGCATTCTTCAACACGTCTATGGTATGTACCCCAAAGCTTGCTGGTGATCTATCAATACCCAGGTGAGCAGGGGTAACGAATCCGTGAGATATGTTATACGCACAAACACTTCCTCCCGCGGAACGCCCGATGCACGCAGGCCCTCACCGACTTCCTTTTCGTTCCCATACGCCCTTTAGTGTAAAGCGATCATTAGGATTATTTCACGATCAACCAATGTTTTCCTACCAAGCACAGTCAATGTGTCTATAGCCTGCCTTCAGCGCATGTTCGACAGCGCGAGCGACTTCATTGGGTTTCGATTGCCACGTTCCTGTTCAGCTTGTCAGTAAGTCATCAACCCTGAGCTGACTCGGAGTTCAAGAGCTCACCGAGCCCGATGGCAGGGATAGTCTGGCCGTTATTAAGGGTGGTGAAATGCGATGCCATAGGTAACTAGAGATGGTGTGAGGTTAACAACACGATGTTATCTCTCCATGCCAGCTCTAGACTATGATTTGCACGAGATCATCGCGTGAGATTTCATCAGAATCAGATGATCCCTGCCTCATCCTCCAGCCACAGACAATCGTTGTTCACGTGGTGCCCAGAGATAGCATATCTATGTGGGTTTGGGAGATGTTCTGCCAGGTCTCGGGCGCCATAAGTAATTGTGATATAGTACTTGTACAATGTGCATGGTAGTACAGTAAATTATCAGCGCAGGTAGCTCCGAATATCGTCTCGTGCGGCCCGACTGTCAGTGCGGACCGGCCGGTGCGAAGGCTGCAGACGTATGATCGATGGCCAAGCCGTTGTTGGTCGGATCCGAATACATAGACGAATGCTATATGATTCAACGGGCACTAAGGGTAGATCTGGAAGTCTAGGTCTTTTCATTTCTGGGCACCTCCATTTCGTCATTCTTTCTAAGTAGATGCTTTTGATACCCATAATCAGTGGCGGTGTGGTAAACTCGAGCGGCTAAGCCTGATATGATCAAGCTCAGTTTACTACTTCTCCGAGTCCACGCTCACATTAATATTGAAGATAGTCTCGGGATGCGACCGAAGAATCTTTTGAATGGTGGAGTTCATGGTACCCTGTTATCAGTCGGACCTTACTCGGTTCTTTCGAGTTTCTCCAAACCCTGCACAGACAAAGTCCGAACATCCTCACGTCATTCACAACGAAAAGACCCCAGGCTCTGCTCGACATGTTCGCTTCAGCTTAATGCTGCGATCATTATCGAGCGGTATATAACGGCCTCTAGATATCCTTGCTCCCCGCATATTTCGAATTCCCTTCCCTTACTATGTCGTCGGTTCGATCTTCCGAGTCTCTTCATCACATTTTTAAAGTCTAAATGTCCTCACCTTTTGCACGCTTGCTCCTCCATGACATCTGTTGTCATTGTCTTCCTCTCATCAGTGTCTTTCCCTCAACTTCGTACCGTTCCCAAACCGTTCCCATATGTACCACTCTCATTACTAACATGGTAGTTGGTCTTCGGATGTCGTGTCATTTGTATCCTAGTGTGTAGTAATGAATATATTTTCAAGTGGACTCCTTGAAAACGTGAAGCTTGTAAAATGGGTCAAAATGTCTTGTTGTAGGGAGGGGGAGTCATTATGGACAAGCAAAAAGATGCGTTAGTTTAAACCGAACGCATAACCCTTTGTGAGGCCGGCTCATGGCTGTAAAATGGGTCAGAATGTCTTGTTGTGGGTTGGGCTGATTGAGGTTCGAGTGGCGCCCAAGCATGGTTGAAACAACGAGGCTGTATTATATTGTGCATAATCTAAGTACTCACCCACGAAGTGCACCATCAAGAGCACTGAACTGCGAGATGGGAACATGGGTGAGGCGGAGTGGAGTAACTCGGTGTGCAGTGATATAAGTGTGTGCAGTATGCTGCGCCGGCCATAGACACGGCTCCGGTACTCCTCTTATGTCTGGGCGAAGGGCATTGGCAGGTGTGCAGGATGGTACTGGTGTGATTCTTTGGGGCGCTGGTTGCTGCAGTGCATCCTGGTGTCCATTGTCTGCGCCGGGTCGTACCACTAGATTTTGCGTGACGTGGCGGCGCTATGATAGAGCTCAGCGGCCATTGTTGTTAAAAATTGAATGGTGAGAGTGAAGATGCATACATACCTTGACGAGTGACACTTCTCGATGCACGGTAACATGAGTGGAATCACGATCACGAGTGCCAATGCCCAATGACACATGAACATCAATGCTCTGCGCTGCTCGGTCGTCAAAGGCTCGTCCTCCTAGAAGTGTCAAGTTCACGCCGTCACGGTTAATATTGCGGTGAGCCCGCTCATTGCCGTTCGTGGTAGCTGGACGCGCGCGCGTAATATCTTCAGTATACCGCTTGATAATAATCGCAGCATTAAACTGAAGCGAGCATGTCGAGGAGAGCCTGGGGTCTTCTCGTTGTGAATGACGTGAGGATGTCCGGACTTTGTCTGTGCAGGGTTTGGAGAAACTCGAAAGAACCGAGTAAGATCCGACTGATAACAGGGTACCAGAAACCGGAATGGTGCCACCCATGTACTTATCGTCGATATCTTCCCGGCTGGTAGTACCATTCACGTGATCATTTAGCCTGAGTGTGTTGCATATGAAGCTGCGGCCTAGTATGAGTTTTTGAAATACTTGACCTCGCCGCGAACTTCTGCATCCAAATGCGATCAAGCGCGCGGAAGTATCACGCCTAATTTGGATGCAAAGTCCGCAGCGAGGCCGAGTTTTTCTAAACTCAAACTGCAGTTATGCAACACACCGTAATACTGCTTTTGCTTCCCTGAGATTCCATCTCGGCGAGTGTTTGTCTCGTGCACGCGTGAGTCATATGCATGACCTTACGTGCCAGCCTAACTCTGCCTAGCACCTACTACGTGACGGTCCAACAAGTTACGGAGAATCGTCGGAGATCGATGCATAACAAGTTGAACACACATGCAGAAGGAAGATTCAGCTGGGTACGATCATTTGATATTGTTCAATCGCTTCTTAATCCTTGCAAAGTTTCAAGCCATCGATAAGCATTCTGAACTCAATCGAGTCAATTCAGCGGCGCTTCCGAGAACGTTGTCAACGGCCGAGTCACCCAATTTGAAGCTTGCTTCTGTATTAGGCGAGTAAGCACCGCCCAGTCTTAGACTCAGCCTTGTGCCGTATCATTGATCTCGCGCCTCGAGGCGATTATCCTGGCCATCTCCATTGGCAGAAGCCAATAAGTAGTCGGACCAGCAAAAGACTGTAGATCGCTCGGATCCCACTTACGCGACCATCCGCACTATGGACTTTGAGGAGTTTGAAGTTGATATCGACCGAGCCATCGAAGTCTCCAAGCCATCAAAATCATGCCGCACTGTTACAGGAGCTTTGAGCTGGACCGATTCAACTTGGTTCGCGCCTGCAAGTAGGAATGCACGCTGGATGGACCTTATCGGGGACTATGCTGGTGCAGAACCCTTTGTGATCGACGGTACTTGTCTGACTTGCTAGTCGTCTAACTTTCAAGTTGATCATCTGTCCATCTATATCCTAGGTCATTCTCTACTTCAAGTTGTGCTTGATGATTGTCTACTTGCACTAGCGAAGGATGATGGTACGTCACTGGGGACTAGTACACTGGCAGATAGTTTTTTCTGACATGACTCGGACGATGGTGCTGTTTGAAGACCCGTCATTTCAAATCATTCATGCGATCTATTCACTCGAACGCATACTGAAAAACTTTCGAGATCGATCAGCGAACTTTGATATCATTTTCTTTGACGGTGAGGCCACTTCTCCATCTCACGATCTAAGTCTATCTTCTTATTGATAATGTGTTAGTCAATCGACACCTAGTACTGCGAGCAGGCGAGTCGGAGTTTACTGTTGCATCTCGAGCCCTAGCCAGGAGACTCTTATATAAGCACCTCCGGTCGCTGAATTCGGTGAATACCTTCACCTTCGCAAGTCTCTCCGACAAAAACTGGGTCGATTATCGTGTCCGAGTGAAGGTAGAAGTCTCACAAGACATGATATTTTCATCTCACTCCGTTATAGCCAATGTTTGTCATGGTCAATAACGGCGGTGTACTGAAGGAAGGCATCGGTGGACAATTCGCCGCCCATCAAATACTCGTCCAACGAATATTTATCTTCGATTTGCTGGCTAGTGGCTTGGCAATGGCGCCGCTCCAGGGTGCTGATTTCAAGGACACCAAGGTCACTGCGTTTTCCTTCCTGTTCTATTTTCTTACTCGATTGTTGATCATGCTATAGATCTTATCTTTCGTCTTTGAATCAAAACTACGCTTAAGCCGTCAAGGACATCTTCCCAAATCTGTTTTATCCATGGGTGTTGCCGCCATGGACATTCTTGCTAGTCAGGAACAAGGGCCATTCGATCAAGTCCGCAGCTGCGTCCTCCGCGAAGCGTCAGCATCCCTGCCTTCCTTCGACCTCCGCGCGACTTTGAAGGATGTCGGATTCTCATATCTTTTAGCATTCAAGAGCGACACTCAGCCGTCGCTACTTGCTGTGTTCATCATCCATGTCCTTCTTCTCAAGAGTATCTCCGTCCAGGATCGAGCGCGGCGCCTGGCGCCAATGAAACCTGACCTTTTCACTTCATTGATAAAATCCTTCCTACCTCGCATCCTTCGTGCGACAGAAGCAGTCGTTGTAGCAAATGATGCATCGCTCGACATTGATATTCGTGTATTCCTTTGTGTCTTGCGCTATCTTTCCGAGCATCCAGCTCAATCATTGTCCGAGATTCTGGGACCCACTGTGGCCAAAGATGCAGAAGATATCTTTTCTGAGTTGAAGCTCCCGCACCTCAACTTTTCGTGTTTGAGCGTATCTTTTCTTCCTGACGAGCCATATGAGATGCCAATTCCCCTCAAGCTCCTTCCGTTTTCCAACCCAGTGTTTGACGAGGAGCTTTCTGTCGTCCACATTGCTACGGAGGGCGTCACACTCCCCAATCCCATAGAACCTGTTGCTTCTAGCGGAGAAGAGTCTGACGAGTGGGACGATAGCAGCACTAGTGATGAATCCGCTGATGTCCTCCCATCCCCTCGTTCTTCTCAACATAAAACATCCAGAGAGGACACACTCTTTTCTGACACGCAGCATTGGCACAACCACAGAATGGCCATTCTGCCCAAGCACCTCGGAGGAGATGCTACGGCACCGATGACTGAATGGCAGCGTAATCGGAAGCTTCGTTCGGACCAGCGCTTCATGAAGACTATGCATGACCAAGCCAGCACCCTGACAGGGGCATCTGGAGCTGTCCTCGAACAAGTGAAAATACCGTCTGCAGCCTCCCTCGCAAATCAGCGCAACGTGAAGGTGCGTACTCAGGCATAGTAACTCTCACTTCTGTTGCTTATCATAGACCTCCAGCCAAAAGTTGTTCATGCTCGTTCGTCAGGCAAAAGTACGGGCAAGCTGTCAAAAGCCGATGCTATCCGCGAACAGAATATTGCCAAGAAGGAATCTAAACAAGCGTCTGAGTCTGCAGCATGGCTCGCGTCCCGCGTCCAAGAGATGGAAAGCCTGGATGGCACTGGTCTCGAAAAGTACCTGAAAGTCCTTGCCCGCAATCCGCGAGCTAGGGAGGCATCGGTAGGCGCGGAACTTCGAGTCTATCATATGCATCGTCTTCTCCGAGAGTGGATCTATTCCGCCAGTCCAGACTCCTCGGCGAGTCGCGATAAATATTCCCTGTTACTCATGCGTCTCGTCAAGGAAGTTTGGGAGATCGGCTTTAGCACAAAAGAGATTGCTAACGCAATCACTAGCGTGTTGATTACCCTCGGCTTCAGCGACTACCTCGATAGTCTCGTGATCTCAGGTTCGGCTGATGACAAGGCGCTAAGTTTTCCGCTTCATCAAGCTGGTCAAGTCCAAGACCAAGACCACTGTTTATGACTTTATGCGAGTGCAGGAGCATCCTATCGTGTGGCAACTCCGGTTGTTTGGCGAGTTCATGGATAGAAGCATGGACAGTCAAGCTGACGCAAGAGTGGCCTTCAAACCAGATGCATGGCAACGCGAGGTGCTTGACGCTATCGACCAAAATATGTCTCTTCTCGTCGTAGGTTAGTGATACTTTGTTTCGGAGGAAGAACAATCGCTCATTTATTTATAGCTCCTACCAGTGCGGGGAAGACCTTCATCTCGTATTACGCTATGGAGAAGATTCTCCGAGGGTCTGATGACGGGATACTCGTTTATATTGCACCGACGAAAGCCCTTGTCGCTCAGGTTGCAGCCGAGATTTATGCTAGGTTTAGCAAGGATCTCAACGGTCGTGAGTACTCATGGAATCATTCAACGAGTGATCGTCGCTGATTCAATTCCAGGTAGCTGTTGGGCGATTCATTCCCGTGACTTCCGGGTCCACGATCCACAGAACTGCCAAATCCTTATCACCGTCCCTGAGATCCTGGCGATCATGCTTTTATCTCCTCCACTCGCCAAGGTGTGGACCCCACGACTCAAATAGTACGAATGTCAGTTTGATACATATGCATTTCCCTCTCACGTCCTATTGTAGTGTCATCCTTGACGAGATTCACACAATCGGCCAGCAGGAGGGCGGAGCTGTTTGGGAACAGATTTTGCTCCTGTCCCCTTGTCCTGTCATGTACGTCGCTTTTGCATTCAACTGACCATGCACTGATTCTTGCATGAATAGAGGTCTGTCTGCTACGGTCGGAGCACCAGAAAGGTTCAACGAATGGCTCGAGAGTGTTCAGAAAGCGGGTGGGTTCCAGCACAAGTTCGTGCATTATCCCCATCGATATTCGCACTTGAGGAAGTTCTACTACAACATTCACGAGGAGCCAAGAGATGCCTTCCGAGGTCTTTCAATGTACAAGACTACAGAAAGGATGCGATTTCTGCATCCGCTGTCCATTCTTTCATCCAGCGCACGTTCTCTCCCCTCTGATCTTGCATTGGAAGCAGCGGATGCATTGAATTTATATCGTGCTCTAAGCACATGCACAGCCCTCCAGCCCTCTATTCTCGCTTCCCTCGATCCTGCGGTATTTTTTTCCGTCCGGTAAACTGCTTCAGCAGAAGGACGTAATCCGATACGAAGAGGCTCTTAAACAGCACCTCGCACTGTTGTTGTCCTCTTTCGATTCGCAAGACTCCGAGACGCCGTTGCCGCGCGTCATTACCCAGCTTCAAGATGATATTTTATCTCGCGTCCCAGATAGAGTGTTGAACTCTCAACCTGATCGTGTTGTATCTGGCTGTAATCTTATTCATCTGGTCGCCGATCTTCACGTACAAGGGGACCTTGTGAGTACCCGACGCGCCTTCCTTATTTATATTCATGAGATCCTTATTCATTTAGCCTGGTATCTTCTTCTCATTCGATCGAAGCGATTGCGAGCAGATGGCCCGAATTTTGAACAACGTGCTCGAGACCCAGGAAGACGAATGGCGCGAAAACAGTCCGGAATGGAAACGCAAAATGGCACAATATGATGCATACCTTCAAGGCGCAAAAGAGCGGGAACGCAAAGCTGCACGAGCATCGAAACATAAGGGCGATGAAGAGGATCAGCGCGCTGACGCGAGTGAATGGCAAACATCCTTCAGACCTGATGATCCCCTGCCAGACTTCTCGTTCGCTGGTCAGAGTACTTCGTACACTGCATCAGAACTTGATGAGGATATCGCTGATCTTGAGAGGCGAAAACCCTCTCCACCTGAATGGGCATTGAAATGTTTGAGACGTGGGATCGCTGTTCACCATGCTGGTATGAACAGAGGGTACCGTTCTCTGGTTGAGGGGTAAGCTTTTTCCCCCAACGTAACACTACTGTCTGACCGCAGATGAAGTCTCTTTCGCCGTGGCTTCATACGCGTTATTTTCGCAACGGGTAAGTGTTCCATTGTTTTTGTAGGGTCACTAACCTCAGACTGCATTTACAGGCACTCTTGCCTTAGGTATCAACGCCCCGACCAAAACTTCAATTTTCTGTGGTGACTCACCTTTCCTCACTGCACTCATGGTTCGTTTCCCGTAATTATACTTATTCGTTATTAATTGATGACCCTAGTATCGACAATGTGCGGGACGCGCTGGACGGCGAGGATACGACACCCTCGGTAAAGTTGTTTTCTATGCTCTTCCTATGAGCAGGGTGCAGAGACTAGTACTTTCGAAACTGCCATCCCTCTCCGCCAGTTTCCCTGTAACATCAACTCTCGTCGTGCGCCTGTTCAATCTGCTGGAGGGTTCAAATTACTCCACAATCGCTGTCGCTGCTGTGCAACGGCTCTTCCGCCTCCCACAAGTCAGTTTTGGCTCTGAGGAAGGAAAACACCAGCTTTTACACCATCTACGCTTCTCAATTGACTACTTGCGTCGTGCTCGTCTGCTCGATGAACAGGGGAAGCCGCTCAATCTTTTTGGAATAGCCGCACATCTGTATTACACGGAGCCCAGCAACTTGGCCCTAGTTGCTCTGCTTCGCAGCGGCGTGGTCCATAAAATTTGTGCGCAACCTAGCCTGAGGCTTGCAAAGCGCGACTTCATCTTGTTGATGGCCCACCTCTTTGGACGGCGGTACCTGCCTGAGGCTTACACGAAAGAAGAGTACATCACGGAGGTGGTCAAGAAGTCGCCATCGATGGTCGTACTACCACCACTGTCTAAGACAGCTCGTGACGTGCTCATAGAGCAAGAGCGTGAAATCCTCCAGATTTTCACCGGATATGCCCTTACCTACGGGACTCAGCACCAAACGGACCTTGGGCCCGATCATATCCTGCCTCTTAGCAAAAGGGATATATCTGGTACTGCAGAAGATGAACCGTCGCTCATTCGTGACCATCTTCACCGTACCGCGATCCGTGTTGTCGCACGGTCGCTTTTTGTGGCTAACTCGGGCCACGATGATCACTTCAACAGTGTTCACGAACTCGCTCAAACGGCTCGACGTGGACTGAACTTGGACGAACACACTATCCCATCGTTCGAAGGCATCACCGGGAGAACCAACCAAGAAGGCAGAAAATACGCGCTGAACGCATACCTCCTTGACTTCTACACCCACGGACAGGTGGCGGCTCTTGCCACTGCGAACGCAGTCAGGCGGGGTGAAGTTTGGTTTTTATTGCAGGACTTTGACCTCACGCTAGTGACTGTGCGTGGGGTACTTGAGCAACTCCTTCAAAAGACATTCGTCGGCGACAAAGGTGCGACGCCAGAGAATGCAGACCTCAGTGAGGAGGCGGATAGTGGATATGCATCCCTTGACCCAGTCCAGTGGGAGGATGAAGAGGAGGAGACGTCTTGGAAGCAGGAGCAGGGAAAGGGGGAATCAACCTGTGATTCGCAGAGACCGCGAGGAGTGTCGGGTGCGGACTGGAGAGTTTTCGAAGTGGTCAATGGTGCGCTCGAAGAGTTCCATGAAAAGTACAAGGCTATGTGGGCCTAAACGTGTACGAACTAAGCCTTTATCCACTGCTAACGCACGCCTCATCATTCTTTCACAAATACATGTACATGTATGCTACAGTTACTGAACTCGTTGTACCACTAGGATTAAACACATGAATGTCATGAAGGTCTCCTCTCCAACGATATCGATACCGAACACCAATCGGTCAGAGGACAAGTTGAATCGAGAAACATCTCCAATCAAAAGCTCTCCATAACCTCGCTACCCATGCTTGACATCCTCTCTCGCATCTCTTCATGTGCAACGCTTTCGCCGATTTGTCTGCAGACTGCGCCAGCATTCACTGCTGCACTCGTGAGTACATCAACATCACACTACAGACCCGATCTCCTGCATCATTTCACGTCACCATAGCCAAAGGGGTGTAGACGAATGCATGGTGATAGAAGCCGCCTTTCTCGTCACGGCGATGGAGATTGTAGAACTGCTAAGCAATGTCTGTCATGAGAGAGAGGAAAGTGTAAATGAACCAGCAATGGTTTCTTCTTAAGTTGCAAGACCGATCAAGAATCCTCTTCCCGGAGAAATCGCATCCCCAAAATTCAGTAAGCCTGGTACACCCACGCCTCCCGAATTCGAGTTTGGTAGAGTATCATGTGGCAGCTGCACGCCTTGGAGAGTCGACATCTCCAGGACAGAGATTTCGCATCCATGAGCAGAGCAGGGGTCAGCACTGGTCGATGGTCTAGTAGTCGAGCAGGCAGAAAGCTGGGAGTTTAGGGCAAAATAATGAGTGTAATCCTTCGTGAAGTTGACTTTGGGAGTAATGTTGTGTGGTACGTCGTTGACAGTAACCGTCCCGGTTTCAATGGTGGCCAGATTTGCCATGAATGGCACTGTTCCTATGCGTTCGCGGCCGCTAAGCCCATCGCATTGGATCCATGACAAGTCGTAGTCATTGAGGATGTCAATTCATCGACCATTTGACCATGATATTGCTAGGACTGACATCACAGTGATAGACATCATGCTTCCAGAGAGTATAATGGCCTGTCGGCGCAGTTAGGGCCAGTTAAGAGTTGATTAAGAGAAGAAAATTAGGCTTACTGAGCACAACTTGCCACCATGCGCTGAGGAACTCGTCCCCGATCAACGACGTGAATGAGACAAACTTCCTGGACACGACGATATACAGGACACGATTGCCTCGTTCCGCGTCAGCCTCTTGAATCCCTAGTAGCGACTTCCTGATTTTTGCCGTGGACATCTCGTCAAACTTGTGGAACCAGACCGTATCCGAGACACGGCCTTGCACCTGCAACTCGCTTCCTGCAACGTCATACATACACCTTCTCGAGTAACCAGCTCGTCGGAATCGTTAAGATTAAAGACAGACTCTCTTGAATTTCTGAGGTCAACACCATTAGTGTATGTTGTCAGCTTCGCACAAAACTCCAGACACATGTTTGAATTTTGAGTTGAGGTGTCGTTCGCTGCATAGCAAACAGCAAGACAAGAAAGCGGGGAAGATTCTCGACGACGACACGTTGACGACAAGTAACAAATGTAGCAGGGAGTCAGAGATTTGGTCCGGATCGGAGTCACGCATGCAGCAGTAACCACGTCCAACTTAGTTGAAGCTATACTAGTAGTTCTCAGTACAAACAGCTGGCAGTACATATAGATATGTTGTACGCGTTATTGGACTGTTTGATCAATTGCAAAGGTCGTATCCACATGAATCAATAACCTCATGATATAAGAGCGTATGATGAAGCTTATGACACATTGACTCGGACAGGATGGCGAACTATAATGTCTGGAGCTACAGACTTTACGTTATTCAGGAGCCAAGTTTGAAGAATAGACTCATTTTCGCCCATTGTCGCCCGGGGAGCATGGATGATAGTGTAAAGGCAAGCTATCGCAACTTTCCAGTTGGATTGGTGCGACGGCGAGGGTTCTTCGACGTCAACGCCGTCTCCATACCGAAACTCCAATAAAAAGGCAGATTTTTTCTCCCTGCATCCTTTAGCATCCACTTTCAGCCAGTCATCGAGTAGTCTGCCACTGTTACTCGACAGCTTGCCATCTTGGTACCTAAAACAGACCCAGACAAGGACCCAGATGAGCGATTCAGCATCGTGCCGGTACAAGTGTGTGACTTTGCCTGACATGGCATTTTCCGCGAGCAGGTCAATTGCCATAAATGGGACCGTTCCTGTGCGCTCCTTACCGCTAGGCCCATCGCGATTGATCGATGATAAGTCGTAGTCATTGAGGACCCCGATCCATTGGCTGTTGAACCAGTAGACCATGAGATTGCTAGGACTGACGTCCCGGTGATGGACATTGTGCATCCAGAGGGTATAATGACCTATTGGCGCAGTCAGAGACAATGAATAACACAAGAAAAACCAGGCCTACATAACACAACTTGCCACCATGCGCTGAGAAATTCGTCTCCGCTCAGCGACGTGATTGGGACGAGCTTCCTGAACACGATGATATACAAAACGCGACTGCCCCGTTCAGCATCAGGGTCTTGAATTCCTAGCGACCTCCTGACTTTCGCCGTGGACGTTTCGTCAAACTTGTGGAACCAGACCATGTCCGGGATGTGTCCCTGCACCGTTGACTCCTTGCTCGCAATGGCATACACATTCTGGAGTATCTCGTGCTCGCTCTGACGCCGCTCTTCTGGCCAATAGGCTGAGAGCTTGGCAACCAGTTCGTTGGTATCGTTACCACAAATATCCCTTTTCATAAGTCCGGAGGCAGAATTAACACCGTGAGGAGGAGTTTTTGGCGCAGTGGCGTCAGCAGCACCATGGGTACTATTGACCATGATTGTTAAGAAATATTGAAAAGTGAATTCGTTGAAGACAAGTAAACGCAGTTTGCAGCTTGCTTTTAAACCAGAACGCTATTGTTCTGACATGACTTCAAGGCCACAATCGATACTTCGAATGTTGATGCAGAATGTGGATGAAAGCCACAGGGACTCGGACAATTGCGGTTCACATCATGATCCCTGCCACCACCATCAACTTCTGAAGTTCGATCATCATCTGGCGCCCACAAACGCCCATGAGTCATGATTGTTTTTTTGTTCCAGGCGCAAAAAACATTTGTGATCTGGGACAAGAGCATCTACGTTAACGTTACTACCTGATCATCATTCATGCATCAATCACACTTCAATTCTCAACATCGTCCACCGCCGCCATCGTGATTTCTCCAACAAGCATAATCACAACCTCTTTTTTTTTCAGCGTGCGATACCACTGACGGAGTCAAATTCGTAAATCATCATCTGTATCACCAACATGATACCATATTACCATCAGATTTCGAAGCCGTCATCCTCGTCCACAGCGCCACTGATTTCTCCAATGAGCAGAATCGCGACTTCCGAACTGAGTCAAATGACCATTTTGATATGCAAGCATCCGAATCATCACTCTTCGTTTTTTGGCCTTCCGCTCCAGTGTCTAAACTTAACGAGGATCAAATTCTTGCAGAAAAATTTCACCTGTTCGGTGTGGCGTGCTGCTTCGCGAATCAGCCTATTGAGCCTCCGCACCGCTACCTTATGCATCAGATCTTAGATTTCAATGTCGCCACCCTTCCCGCCACCGTGATTTCCCCAACAAGCATAATCGTATCATGACTCGATCTATTTACGAGCAACAGACATTCACCCCGATTAGTATTGGTGTTCTTTTCCTTGACATTTATGGCTGAATGAACATCCAGCAAGGATGAGGTCTTTTTGGTGGTCCGTCTCCAATCAAAAGCTCTCCACTAGCCTCGCTACCTCTCTCGCATCTCTTCATGTGCAACGCTTTCGCCGATTTGCCTGCAGACTGCGCCAGCATTCACTACTGCACTCGTGAGTACATCAACGTCATACTACAGCGAAACCCAATCTCCTGCATCACTTCGCATCACCACAGCCAAAGGGGTGTAGACGAACTGCATGGTGATAGAAGCCGCCTTTCTCGTCACGGCGATGGAGATTGTAGAACTGCTAAGCAATGTCTGTCATGAGAGAGAGGAAAGTGTAGATGAACGAGCAATGGTTTCTTCTTGAGTTGCAAGACCGATCAAGAATCCTCCTCCCGGAGAAGTTGCATTCCCAAAATTCAGTAAGCCTGGTACACTCACGCCTCCCGAATTCGAACTTGGTAGAGTATCATGCGGCAGCTGCATGCCTTGGAGAGTCGTCATCTCCATGACAGAGATTTCGCATCCATGAGCAGAGCAGGGGTCAGCACTGGTCGATGATCTAGTAGTCGAGCAGGCAGAAAGCTGGGAGTATAGGGCATAATAACGAGTGAGATCCTTCGTGAAGTTGACTTTGGGAGTGATGTTGTGTGGGACGTCGTTGACGGTAACTGTCCCAGTTTCAATGGTGGCCAGAGTCGTGTCTGCTATTTCTTGAAGGCGTTTATTATCTCCTTCATGCTCCCCTGTATTGCACAAAGACGGGTTGGAGTTGGTTTGTCCGCGCTGGTGAGCTTCTGGTTGTGTTACAATTCGTTGTCTGGTTTGTGCGCCACAATGTGACCTTTGCTCTTGGTTTGGCGGAAAGGGTAGCCATTGGTCCGCATCCTGAGATGCTTCTGGTTAAATGTCATGACAATTGCATCCAAATCGCAGGGATAAGTACCATGGAATCACAACAACGTCTCTAAGTCTACACAACTCATCTCATCTCATCACCCTCAACAGCGGTCAGACTGAATAATTGATACACGTCGCTCGAGCTAGTGTGAGGATCACTCGGGAGAAGACGAGAAATCTGAGACGCAGGAGAGCAGAAACGATTCGTGATTTGCAGAGACCGCGCGATGTATGATCTAGGTGTAGAAATGGTCAACGGTGAACTCGAAGGATTAAGTTAAGTTTCACTTTCTCGCACCGTAGGGAGCAACTAGTGGCGGCTATCGAGGCTGATTCGGAGGTGAGAATTCGTAGATTCTGAGTATGTTGCTGGTTGATGATGTGTACCTAACAGTCTGTGCCTTCCAGTGGAAGGGTAGTTAGTTAGTTAGTTAGTTATTGATCCTCAACTTAGGATAGTGCAAGGAGTGAAGCGGCGAATGGTCGATATCAGATGGTGATAACATATTTCTTTCCTGAGGTTCCAAGTCTGAGTCTGATGCAAGGATTACGTGCACGCTTCGAGCTTAAGCTTCATCGCACCCGGTGTGCAAACGTTCACATATCATAGTACGAAATTACGTACGTTTGAACGCCAGGCGCGATAGTGTATTGGTTGATGGAGGCTAGGATACAAAGTCTCAGTCCTATAGGTAACACGTCAGAGATGTCCGAGACGGCAAGGAGTAACCGGTGACAACAACACCGGTGAAGGTGTTGAAGGTGCCAAGATGCGATAAGGACTCGAGAAAGGACAAGGACATCCATCCCCCGGGACTGGTACCGTGCGTGCAGAAGTTCTTATCGCTAAATATTCGGCGAGCATAATGAGAGTTTTATACAGGAACTGAAGTTCTGAAGTCATGCAGAAAGACCCAAGTTACATAATCACTCACTCAAACTCTACCGTAGTAGCTTCTATTTCAGTCCCGGTATCGGTCTCCAGCGCCCTAACGTCTAGCTGGCAGCCCAAGGACTGTGTACCATCCCCGCCGCCAGATAAATTTACAGAAGAGATGTGCTGAGGGGCGGGTGGAGAGGGCGATGCTACTGCCGCTTCTTCAAGTTGGTTCAGTGCTCTTCAAGTTCGTATTCTCGAATGGCATAAGACTCATTGTGCCTTGTATGGATATGGATATCTTTGTTCTATCGCTGGTCTCGCAAAAATCCATGTACACACATCCTGCATTAACGTGTGTTACCGCCGTCCTCGGGCTGTCGCTGGTCGATCGATGCCGTCCTCAAACGCCGGACTCTCGAAAAGCCTGACTTTCTGGCGATAGCCTTCTATCCGATTTTAATCTGATTCTGAATTCAAAATCTCACGATCACCAAGATGACTTGAGAGTCAGCTTCAAGATCTCTAGCTACCCATGTTGTCTCATCTCATCGCCCTCCACAATGGGCAGACCGTCCCTGCTATCGGACTCGGTAAATTCTCCAACTTGTTGTTTAAAGATGAGATGTGGGACTTAGTCATGCCCCAGGAACATGGCAATCGAAACTCAATGCTAGTGAAATCGCCCGCGCCGTGGAACATGGGCTAAAGGCAGGCTATAGACACATTGATTGTGCTTGGTAGGAAGCATTAGTTTGATCGTGAACTGATTCTAATGTGCACATCACACGGAAGGTTTTATGGGAACGAAAAGGAAGTTGGTGACGGTCTGCGTGCATCAGGCGTTCCGCGAGAGGAAGTGTTTGTGCGTATAACATATTCTCTGTATTATTCACCCTGTTTCATTCCATGGATGTGGCTTTGGTAGGTCACCAGCAAGGTTTGGGGTACATACCATAGACGCGTTGAGGAATCCCTCGACCAGACGCTTGCGAACTTGGGAACAACATATCTTGACCGTGGGATCTTTGTTTATCCAAGTACGAGCCTGACTGCTTTGACTGACATGAACCGTCTCATTATCAGTTTACCTTGTGCACTGGCCTATTGCGATGAACCCGAATGGGAATCACCCTGTCATGCCGATGCGCCCGAACGGAAACCATGACATCGATGAATCATGGGACATCAGGGACACTTGGAAGGCTATGGAAGCCATGGTAAAGAAGGGTAAAGTCAAGGCAATCGGCGTGTCAAACTTTTCCCGGATGATGCTCGAGAGGATCTTGCCCACAGCTGAGATCATACCGGCTGTTAATCAGGCACGTTCGACGCAACGACGCCCGTTTGAAACTGACCATTGGAATTTATAGCTCGAGCTTCACCTGTACAATCCGCAGCTGAAGCTTCTGGATTACTTGAAGTCAAAGAAAATTGTTCCACAAGCATACTCGCCCCTTGGTTCGACCGGCGCTCCACTGTTGACCGATGAGTTTGCCACTGAGATTGCGAAGAAGCGTGGTCTCAAGAGCACGTCCGATGTCCTTCTCGGTTACCTGTGTGCGTTCCTGCTTGTTATTCGCCCTGCGTAAGAGTGATAGCTGATAGGTCTGAATGCAGTGACAAAGGACATAGTTGTCCTTCCCAAATCAATGTCACCATCCCGTATCGAATCTAACTTGACTGGCGCACTAGAGGCATACAGTGTGCTGACACCAGAGGACATTAAAATCCTTGACGGTGTAGCTGTGGGTGGCAAGCAGAAGCGTTTCATCATGCCTAACTGGGGTGAGTGATGGTAGTGGCCGCGAAAGTGATTGCACTGACATACTATCCAGGTATTGATCTTGGTTTTGATGACTGGCCCGCTCCAACAAAGTAAGCGATGAGCCCAGATTCATCGGTGTACATGATTCAAGGTGGCTAAATTGTAGGGCACCATTGTAGCGTCTGAGACTGCAGACATGGAGCTGTTCATGCAAGTAGAACTTTACGTACTTCATAGGAAATTTTTTTCTCGGAATTTACTGGGCGACGCACTGGGGGGTTAACGAGGCACATGCACGGGTAACATCAATGGCATGACACCGTGACTACCAGGGTGCAGACCGGCGGACGTGTGCGGGCAACCTGCCAGCTGATCCAAGTGTCAGCTCGCAACCCTGAGCCACACAATCGATCCGACTTAGTACGTGTTTCCTTCAAATATGCAAGAGATGTGGTCATAGTGCGTATCAACAACCGGCACCAAGCGCGAGCAGTCAACGTAATTGGTTGAGGGGATGCAATGCTGGATATTACCATGTTGTAAATATTCATGCGTCCTATGGCAGAAGGAACAAGTAGGCAGGGTGAACACCCATCAAATGAGACAGCAGACCCATGGCATCTTATTTGGCAAGAGTTGATCGAGTAAGGCATCCTAGTCTGAATTTAAACGACACAACAATCAAACACCCATTGGCAAGCTCAGCGATCCAGTTCAGAAAACATATGGCTTCGAAAGTAACCCAAACCTTGAAGTCCATCAATATTCACTTGATAATGACATATCAGCGATGGCTTTAATGCAGATAGTATAGCGTCAAAGCATGGCGTGACATGAGGTACCATAAGAAGCATGACATGAAGTGTGAGATGATGTGCGGGGATTATTTTAGGCAGTCCTGAATGAATTACATGAGCGCAGGATCTTGGAGGATGATAGTCCAAGACATACTTGTGGTGAGAGGCTTTGACGGCTGCGAGTTTGGCCTTCTTCTCAGCAACACGCTTTTGCATAAGGGCACTAATGGAGAGGTTACTATGGCGGACCGGGTTTCGTGCGGACTATTATCACTTACTCGTATTCTGCCTTCTGCTCCTTCTGGCGGTCGATCCGGCGACGGTTAAGAGAACGGAGGTGACGGCGGCGTTGGAGACGGATGGGGGTGACCAATCTTTGGATTTTGGGTCTGGGTAAGGAGAAAACTTCAGCCCAGAAAAAAAGCCAGGTGACGGTATACTGACGCCTTGGTGTAAGGTTTGGCGTTCTCCTTCTTCGAGCTCTTCACCTCACGCCTTACAACGTACTTCCTGACATCATCCTCCTTCGACAAGTTGAAGAACCTTCTGATCTTCGTTGCCCTTTTAGGACCAAGTCGCTTGGGCAGAACAGTGTCGGTGAGCCCAGGGACATCATTGTCGCCTTGTTTAACGATGACGACGGAGAGGACGGCAATGTCAGGGCCGACGATGCAACCACGGACGGATTTGCGCTTCCTCTCGCCTGCGCGGCTTGCACGGTAGCAAGAGTGGTTGTCGGTCAAGAGAAGTCTGACACGGTTGGGGAGCAGGACACCCTGCATCATGGGGAAACCCTGCTTGTCGTTACCACCGGTGATACGGAAAATGTAACCCTTCCATTCGTCTCCAAGGATGTCTGCCTCGACCTCTTGCGAGATCTTCTTGTCGAAGAAGATACGGCTAGTTTCAAGTACTTTAGTTAGTTTTCAAAGGAAGAGTTGTGCCAATCGTACAATCTCTTCTCATCGTCGATGTTAATGGTCTTTTGAGCCCCAGTGGCAGGGTCTGGATCAAACGTCAGTCTAAATTGTATTGAACGTGTTGGACATCGAACGCACTGGCAATATTGATCTTCATACTACCCGCGGAGAATGATCAACACGAGCTCGAAATTGATATCAACCTCAAGAATTCACCTTACGAATGGGAAAAAGGCCTTGTCACCGTGGGCTGCAGCGACGAGGAGGAGTCTTGATCTTGCTGGTTAGCCTGGGCCGTATGTTCAACAGTGGCAGATTCCGGCTTGTGGCTGAAGTGGAAAATAAGGTTTACTACTGTACAGTTGCTAAGCCACACACTAACTTGTCACGCGTCACATCGCCTTTCCGTGAACGCGTCCAACGACACTCCTCAAGACATCCTTTCCGCCAACAAAAACTGTGAGCGTTCTGCAAAGTAGTGTTGTTCAAAGCTGATCAGATGGTTCAGATTCATCATGGGTCGTATGCACGCTCCCGGCAAGGGCATTTGTGCGTAGAAAAATGTTCTCTCTTGACACATAGGATCTGGCCTGATCATCTTCATCTTCATCAGCGTCCTCTGCCCTTCCTTACAAGCGTTCCCCTCCTTCGTGGCTCAAGACTACGCCCGATGAAGTCGTCGAGCACATCATGAAATTGGCTCGCAAGGGTCTCACTCCCTCTCAGATCGGTGTTACCCTCCGTGACTCGCATGGTATCCCTCAAGTGCGTTTCGTCACTGGTAACAAAATCCTCCGTATCCTCAAATCCAACGGTGCGTGCTTCATCGATCAATTACTTCGCCAAACACTCACGCACTGAATTGCCACCTGCCTCGTTGCCGTGCATTTCTGCTACTACATCTTGTTTGTACATGCCTTTTGTTTGGGGATAGGATTGGCACCATCCATCCCAGAGGACCTTTGGCACCTCGTCAAAAAGGCGGTGGCCGTGCGCAAGCACCTTGAAGTCAACCGCAAAGACAAGGACTCCAAGTTCCGTCTTATCTTGATCGAGTCTCGTATTCACCGTCTTGCTCGTTACTACAAGACAAAGCAGCAGATCCCTCCTACGTTCAAGTATGACTCTGCTACTGCTTCCACTTTGATTGCGTGAGCGGTTGTTGGGCTTTGGCGTGCAGTGGCTGGTTGGGCAGATCATATCCGTATATTATGGTACAATCCTTTCACTGATAAGTCATGCGAAAAAATTAGGCTTATGCACAACTATGCGCAAATGTCCCGGTTCGTGATTAAAGATATTAAAACTTCAGAGTTTAAGTTGTCCTTGGTATATCATCATCCGCAGCTCCAAGAAAGCCGACAGTTAGCTGAGGAACGCTTGGCGGTGCTCAATACTCAGTGTTTTCAAACGTGGTTCTTCAACTTAATGTAGGCAGCATATACGATCTTGATGGAGCCGTCTTGTAGTGATGCGGCAGACTCGTCCAAACAACGCAGCTTTAAGACAACATTAAAACCCAATTGCACATACGTCAGTGGTTTGGTAGTGGCGGCTCTGATGGCTTTGGTGAGAGGGACGACCGAGGGGACTTTCAGGCTATGGCCAGGAGTAACAACAACGAGACAAATGGTAAAACTTTCCTGCGAGATGTTTGCTTCATACACTGCGGGTCCCGGGAGCGCCAAAGACCTTGCTGGATGTCCGTTTATCCACACATGCCAAAGAAAAAGAACAGCAATAATTGGGGTGAATGTCTATTGAGGACTAGACTGGACTAGATCGCGTCACACGCGAGCCCAATCGGCCCACTGAGGCTCGCGCGATTGTACTCATTGGGTGGCGGCTTCGAAATCTGATGCATGATGGTAGTAATGATGGTCACTAAATGGGTGGAATGTTCCTGCAAGAATTGTCCAGACACTGCGGACCGCCAAAAATGACCTCATCCTTACTGGATGTTCATTCAGCCATAAATGTCAAGGAAAAGAACACCAATACTAATCGGGGTGGATGTCTGTTGCTCGTGAATAGATCGAGTCATGATACGATTATGCTTGTTGGGGAAATCACGGTGGCGGGAAGGGTGGCGACATTGAAATCTGAAGATCTGATGCATAAGGTAGCGGTGCGGAGGCTCAATAGGCTGTTTCGCGAAGCAGCACGCCACACCGAACAGGTAGAATTTTGCTGCAAGAATTTGATCCTCGTTTAGACACTGGAGCAGAAGGCCAAAAAAAACGAAGAGTGATGATTCGGATGCTCGCGTATCAAGATACAAGAATGTCAGTGAAGTCGCGATTCTGCTCATTGGAGAAATCAGTGGCGCTGTGGACGAGGACGACGGCTTCGAAATCTGATGGTAATATGGTATCATGTTGGTGATACAGATGATAATCTGCGAATTTGACTCCGTCAGTGATTTCGCACGCTGAAAAAAAGGAGCTTGTGAATCTTATGCTTGTTGTAGAAATCACGATGGCGGCGGTGGACGATGTTGAGAATTGATGCATGAATGATGATGCGGTAGTAACGTAGATGCTCTTGTCCCAGATCACAAATGTTTTTTGCGCCTGGAACAAAAAAACTCGAAGTAATAATCATGACTCATGGGCGTTTGTGGGCGCCAGATGATCGAACCTCAGAAGTTGATGGTGGTGGCAGTGATCATGATGTGAACCGCGATTGTCCGAGTCCCTGTGGCTTTCATCCACATTCTGCATTAACGTTCGGAGTTCCAGGTATCGATTGTGGCCTTGAACTCATGTCAGCACAATAGCATTGTTCTGGTTTAAAAGCGAGCTGCAAACTGCGTTTACTTGTCTTCAACGAATTCACTTTTCAATATTTCCAAACAGTAATCTTTCATCATGGTCAATAGTACCCATGGTGCTGCTGGCGCCACTGCGCCAAAAACTCCTCCTCACGGTGTTAATTCTGCCTCCGAACTTAAATCTACCCCACTTGCAGTCGGCTCTGCCGCTGTCAGCGATCACGTCAGTACTCTAGGCGTTAGGTATGTCGATGCTTATTTTTACTCGGCCACCGGTATTGAACTTCGCCATGCACGCAGGATCCATGATGTCCGCCCATGGATCACTCGGGATGTCGAAAATTTCAGGAAATGCGACGCCGACGCAATGCTGCAGGAGCTCCTCTGTGGATTCGAAGAGCGCCCCAGCAGTGAGAAGTCGAAGTTACTTCAAGATTCTCTTAAAGCCGTCCTGGACATCTGTAACAATACTCCGGAAATCACAGATAACTTGACTGAATTGTAAGTAGGGAGTTGACACAGTGTGAAAGGAACTGAACGCCTTTGTCCAGTGCCAATTGCACTGTAGAGCCAATTTCGTACCCGTCCTTTGTGCGTGCGGCCAATGCTGCACTCCTCAAACTGAGAAGCTTGGAAGTCTCCGGACTACCCGCTCCTCCGCACGACGAGACCGACATCCTGTTTCATCATAATGACAAGGACATGAAGCAAATGCACCAGGACGTAAAGTCTACACGCAAGCCTGATGTCGTTCTCGTCTCTAGGGAAGCGGCGAAGGGTGTGGCGAAGGGTGGAAAAACTAAGGGTAAGAGTAAGGGTAAGGGTAAGGAGTTTAACACGGACACGGCAGCAACCAAGCCTCATGGCAACTTCAATTGGATCGATGTTCGATCGACCGTGGAGTTCAAACGCAGTCGCACTCTGGATCCTCCAGTATTGCCTTACAAAGTGACGGAATATGCTCCCCCTAAGCCAGGGTCCAAGTATTTGAACCTTGGGAGTGGAACGGAGAACCCTAAGCCAACGGGTACAAGTCTTGCTCCTACCGCCGCTCCCGCTCGAAGCTCGAACAAGCCATCGAATGAACGTAAGCCACACAGAGCGTTTGCTTACTGCTTCACTGCTGACCTTCGCGATTCAGCACGGGGTACGCGTGCTTCAGAACGACTGAAAGCAAAGTCAGACAACAAACGTAAATCTGATCAGTCAGACCCCAACGAGTCCGCTTCCAAGCGCTTCAAGAAAACCAACGAGAACAACGCGGGTCAGAAGGAGCCCCCAAACGAGCCACAAAAGCTTCATCCCAACGTCCAGAATGGTATGTATGTCGCGGAGATGTTCGCGGCCAACATCGCGCTACAGTGCGTCATCTCCTATGTAGTGAACAGTAAGTGGACTGAATATTGTAGACCTCTCGTCAAATTGATCGTCCGTGCTAGATGATATCATCTACATCTGGTATTTTGATCGAGAGGACGCCATTCAATGCGCTGGCATTAACTTTATTCAGGATCTTCCCCGGTTCCTGGTCTTACTGCTTGCTATGCAGCGCATGGGGGACGAGCAATGGGGCCATAATTCGAAATTCACCCATGTGCCTGGAGTTTCGTGCGACGTTGTCATCGGAGATGTCGACCTCAAATTTGACTTGAAGTCTGACACACGCACGACTCACTTCGGTCTGCGCGGCCGCGCAACCAATGTCTTTTCGGTCCAAAGCAAATATCTTTCGGACCAGAAGAAAAGAGACATTTGTGGCAACGATACCAATGAACTGGTTGCCAAGCTCTATTGGCCAGAAGAACGGCGTCAGAGCGAGGACGAGATACTCCAGAATGTGTACGCCATTGCGAGCAAGGAGTCAACGGTGAAGGGACATGTCCCGGACATGGTCTGGTTCCACAGGTTTGACGAGACGTCCACGGCGAAAATCAGGAGGTCGCTAGGAATTCAAGACCCTGATGCTGAACGGGGCAGTCGCGTTTTGTATATCATCGTGTTCAGGAAGCTCGTCCCAATCACGTCGCTGAGCGGAGACGAATTTCTCAGCGCATGGTGGCAAGTTGTGTTATGTAGGCCTGGTTTTTCTTGTGCTCTTCATTGTCTCTGACTGCGCCGATAGGTCATTATACCCTCTGGATGCACAATGTCCATCACCGGGACGTCAGTCCTAACAATGTTATGGTCTACTGGTTGAACGGCCAATGGATCGGGGTCCTCAATGACTACGATTTATCATCGATCAATCACGATGGGCCTAGCGGCAAGGAGCGCACAGGGACCGTACCATTCATGGCAATTGACCTGCTCGAGGAACCTGGCCTCAAAGGCAAAGTCACACACTTGTACCGGCACGATGCTGAATCGTTAGTCTGGGTCCTCATCTGGGTCTGTCTTCGGTATGAGGATGGCAAACTCCTGAGCGGGAAGAAACCACTCGATGACTGGCTGAGAGTGGATGCTAAAGGATGCGGGGAGAAAAAATCTGCCTTTATATGGAAGTTTCGGCATGGGGACGTTGACCTCGAAGAACCCTCGCCGTCGCACCAATCCAACTGGAAAATTGCGGTAGTTTGCCTTTACACTATCATCCATGCTCCTCGGGCGACAATGGGCGAAAATGAGTCTATTCTTCAAACTTGGCTCCTGAATAACGTAAAGTCTGTTGCTCCAGACATTATAGTTCGCCATCCTGTCAATGCGTCATAAGCTTCATCATACGCTCTTATATCACAGGGTTATTGATTCATGTGAATACGATCTTTGCAATGGAATTCTATTGATCAAACAATCCAATAACGCGTACAACTCAGTAACAACATATCTACGTACTTCAAACTGTTTGTACTGAGAACTACGTAGTATATAGCTTTAATTAAGTTAGACGTGGTTAACGTTGCATGCGTGACTCCGATCCAAAGGGCTCCGGACCAGCCAAATCTCTGACTCTGACATCCTTGCTACATTTATTACTTGTCGCCGAGAATCTTCCCCGCTTTCTTGTCTTGCTGTTTGCTATGCAGCGAATGACACCTTCTCATGAATAGATCGAGTCATGATACGATTATGCTTGTTGGGGAAATCACGGTGGCGAGAAGGGTGGCGACATTGAGTTCTGAAGATCTGATGCATAAGGTAGCGGTGCGGAGGCTTAACAGGCTGATTCGAGAAGCAGCACGCCACACCGAACAGGCGACAAGAATTTGTTCTTCGTTTATACACTGGAGCGGAAGGCCAAAAAAAACGAAGATTGATGATTCGGATGCTCGCGTATCAAGATACAAGAATGGTCATTTGACTCAGTGAAGTCGTGATTCTGCTAATTGGAGAAATTAGTGGCGCTGTGGACGAGGATGAAGGCTTCGAAATCTGATGGTATCATGTTGGTGATACAGATGATGATCTGCGAATTTGACTCCGTGAGTGGTATCGCACGCTGAAAAAAAAAGAGGATGTGTTTATGCTTGTTGGAGAAATTACGATGGCGGCGGTGGACGATGTTGAGAATTGAAGTGTGATTGATGCATGAATATGACTGATGATCCGGTAGTAACTCTTGTCCCAAATCACGAATGTTTTTTGCGCCTGGAACAAAAAAACTCGAAGTAATAATCATGACTCATGGGCGTTTGTGGGCGCCAGATGATCGAACTTCAGGTTGCAGGGATCATGATGTGAACCGCGATTGTCCGAGTCCCTGTGGCTTTCATCCGCATTCTGCATTTAACGTTCAGAGTTCCAGGTATCGGTTGTGGCCTTGAACTGCTTGAACTCATGTCAGCACAATAGCGTTGTTCTGGTTTAAAAGCGAGCTGCAAATTGCGTTTACTTGTCTTCAACGAATTCACTTTCCAATATTTCCAAACGGTAACCTTTCATCATGGTCAATAGTACCCATGGTGCTGCTGGCACCACTGCGCCAAAAACTCCTCACCGTGACGGTGTTAATTCTGCCTCTGGACTTATGGAAAGGGATGTTTGTGGTAACGATACCAACGAACTGGTTGCCAAGCTCTATTGGCCAGAAGAGCGGCGTCAGAGCGAGCACGAGATACTCCAGAATGTGTATGTCATTGCGAGCAAGGAGTCAACGGTGCAGGGACACCTCCCGGGCATGGTCTGGTTCCACAAGTTTGACGTGACGTCCACGGCAAAAATCAGGAGGTCGCTAGGAATTCAAGACCCTGATGCTGAACGGGACAGTCGCGTTTTGTATATCATCGTGTTCAGGAAGCTCGTACCAATCACGTCGCTGAGCGGAGACGAATTTCTCAGCGCATGGTGGCAAGTTGTGTTATGTAGGGCTGGTTTTTCTCGTGTTATTCATTGTCTCTGACTGCGCCGATAGGTCATTATACCCTCTGGATGCACAATGTCCATCACCGGGACGTCAGTCCTAACAATGTTATGGTCTACTGGTTGAACGGCCAATGAATCGGGATCCTCAATGACTACGACTTATCATCGATCAATCGCGATGTGCCTAGCGGCAAGGAGTGCACAGGAACAGTCCCATTCATGGCAATTGACCTGCTCAATGAAATGCCATGTCAGGCAACGTCACACACTTGTACCGGCACGATGCTGAATCGCTCGTCTGGGTCATTGTCTGGGTCTGTCTTAGGTACCAAGCAGGCAAGCTGTCAAGTAACAGTGGCAGACTACTCGATGACTGGCTGAAAGTGGATGCTAAAGGATGCAAGGAGAAAAAATCTGCGTTTCTATTGGAGTTTCGGTATGGAGACGGCGTTGACGTCGAAGAACCCTCGCCGTCGCACCAATCCAACTGGAAAGTTGCGATAGCTTGCCTTTACACTATCATCCATGCTCCCCGGGCGACAATGGGCGAAAATGAGTCTATTCTTCAAACTTGGCTCCTGAATAACGTAAAGTCTGTAGCTCCAGACATTATAGTTCGCCATCCTGTCCGAGTCAATGTGTCATAAGCTTCATCATACGCTCTTATACCACGAGGTTATTGATTCATGTGGATACGACCTTTGCAATTATGATCAAACAGTCCAATAACGCGTACGACATATCTATGTACTGCCAACTGTTTGTACTGAGAACTACTAAGTAGTATAGCTTCAACTAAGTTGGCCGTGGTTACTGCTGCATGCGTGACTCCGATCCGGAGGGCTCCGGACCAAATCTCTGACTCCCTGCTACATTTGTTACTTGTCGTCAACTTGTCGTCGTTGAGAATCTTCCCCGCTTTCTTGTCTTGCTGTTTGCTATGCAGCGAATGACACCTTAACTCAAAATTCAAACATGTGTCTGGAGTTTTGTGCGAAGCTGTCAACGTCCACTAATGGTGTTGACCTCAGAAATTCAAGAGGGTCTGTCTTTCATATTAACGATTCCGACGAACTGGTTACTAAAAAAAACTCGAGAAGGTGCACGTATGACATTGCAGGAAGCGAGTTGCAGGTGCAAGGCCGCGTCTCGGATATGGTCTGGTTCCACAAGTTTGACGAAATATCTACGGCAAAAATCAGGAAGTCGCTACTACGGATTCAAGAGGCTGACGCAGAACGAGGCAATCGTGTTTTGTATGTCGTCGTGTCTAGGAAGTTTGTCCCAATCACGTCGTTGATCGGGGACGAGTTCCTCAGCGCATGGTGGCAAGTTGTGCTCTGTAAGCTTAATTTTCTTGCGCTCTTAATCAATTCTTCATTGGCCCTAACTGCGCCGACAGGCCATTATACTCTCTGGAAGCATGGTGTCCATCACTGTGATGTCAGTCCTAGCAACATTATGGCCTGTTGGTTAAATGGTCGATGGATTGGCGTCCTGAATGACTACGACTTGTCATCGATTCAATGCGACGGACTTAGCGGTCACGAACGCATAGGGACAGTACCATTCATGGCAATTGACCTGCTCAAGGAAAATGCTATCTCAGGCAAAACTACACACTTGTACCGGCACGATGCTGAATCGCTCGTCTGGATCCTCGTCTGGGTCTGTCTTAGATACGAAGAAGGCAAGCTGTTGAACAGTGGTAGACGGCTCGATAACTGGCTGAAAGTGGATGCTAATGGATGCAGGCAGAAAAAAGCTGCCTTGATGTGGACATCTCGGCATGGGGACGCTGACCTCGAACAATTCTCCCCGTCGCACCAATCTAACTGGAAAGTTGCGGTAACTTGCCTTCGCACTATCTTTTATGCTCCCCAGTCTTATTTTCAAGACGACCAGTCTGTATTCCAGATATGGCTCCTGGCGAACGTACAATCGTCGCTCCGAACATAATACGTCGCCGTGCTGTTGATCTGTGGCAATCTTGTAGAGGTTAATCATCTATTTTGTTGTGTGAATTATACGGTGTCTGTGATTTGACCCATGCGTTTCCAGCTTGCCATGCAGACCTTCTATTGAAAATTGAACGCGTACTCACTAGAGTCCAACGATTTTAATTGTTGCTCCCAGGTTTTGGTGCACTTGTCGTTTCGTCCGAGAAAAGTCCAGGCAGGAAATCGTCACTAGCCCCAATGTACGCCTGCCTAAAGATCTCGGCTGCCATGATGTGTTTGAGTAATATGATGACATTTACCACCTAAAGCATCTTGACACAGTACTCTCGGACTGTAAGATACTTCGCGGATGTCTACTTATTTCTCGACTGTTCTGCACAATATCTTTTCCACATGAAAAATGAGGCTAGAAATCAGAAATTTCGTCGCATTTCCGAATACCTCTGAGCGGATGTAAGGAAGATCACCAATGTCAGAGGCTTTCGAGACTGTAATAAACCATCCTTACCACACGCAGTGGTCCCTAAATCTACACTGGCACGGATGAAGTCCCTTCATCATAGAACAGTGTTTCCGAGAGAAGAAGGTTTGGGCGGCCCGCGACGTGCGGCGTCTGCCATTCTTCAGTAATTAATTTAGCTTACATCGACTTATGCAAATAAGCATAAGCCCCTAGTCCAGTTGCGCGAGGTGATAGAATCAGAACGTGCACACTCTTCCCAGAGACAAACGCGAGTCCTATCGGCATGTTCTGATCTCGACAGCTGAAGTAGTGTGTAGTTTGGGAAACTTTCAACTATCATGGGACAAACCACAAATACTCCGCACACATCGATACTATTCACAGTTACAAATGATCTCGAACACCAATCGAACATGGTGCTACTAGCAGTATACTACGTAGCAGAACGCTGGTAAAGCGTACGTAGGAAATTATGACTAAGTATAACGTATGGTAGCAGCAACATTATCATAATAGGAGAGAATGCACAAGAAATTGCTGTCTCCTTCCTTAGCGTCTCTGAGACCTTCTGGGCGCAGCGACGGGTTGTGGCGCCGGTGGGAGTTGGGGGGGCATGTGCATAGCATGTCTGCCCCTCCCGGCTGCAGCAATCAAATGAAATTGCTCCCTCAGCGCCGCGTGGCGTCTGGCCTGAATGCGTTCCACCTCCCTTATTTCTGCCTGACGCCTCAACTCAACCTGGGCGAGTTGTACCTGCACCATTCGCTCGTGGAGCTGTGCTTGAGCCTGGGCACGTTGAGCGAGCACCACTCGCTGGTGGGCCTGGGCCTCTAACATCCGTTGGTGAGCATGCTGAGCGTGGACATTTAACATATTCATATTTGCTGCGTAGCCTGCAAGGGGTAAGTCATAAGCTGGTACTCCATACGCATTCGGTGCTAGACCATGTGCATTCGGTAAGGCCGGCAAGCCCCACGCAGCGTTCACGGGCATAGGTGGATGCATATTGGGCACTGGCTGAGCCGGACCGGCAATTGGTAAATCTATCTTGATGCTGCTCTCATCAACATCAGGGCGATCGCGTTTGAGCTCTTCCATCGCCTTCTTAGCTGCTTCTTGAACCTGGATCGATAAGGTGCCGTCAACAAATTGATCCATGATAATCAGCCGAACCTGATACCTCAGTCGCATGCCGCTGTTCGACCGGATCCCACAGTAGGCATTTGTTCTTATCAACTCGTCCATTGGGGGACTAAGAAATTGAGATTATTGAAATTCATGGATGAGGACGTTGCAGTGCCGTGACTCACATTTCCAAAATGTTCGTATCCATTAATGACCTCCCGGCATATATAGCATGAGACAGTTCGACAATTTGGACAAGTCATCTTGTTACACTGAGGTGCTCGGTGAGCATGTGGTCTCTTCACAGAAGAAAAAAGGTTTACACCGTGTTCTTTTATAAACGCTGTATGCATCTTCGATTAGAGCTGCTGATTGGAATAGTTCACAAGGACGAACCTTTCTGGCACTTCGGACAGTTTCGCATCAGTGCACGAGCTGCAAAATATTGTCAAAATGAACCGTTGATGATTATCATGCGAACATACTCATCGCTTCCTCAACGATGTGCTGCGCGTCAAGGTGTTTGTCCGATTCTACTTCTGGAGTGCATTGTGAGTGCAACGGTTAACGGATACAAACTTGAGGTTACCCTTGCAGCTCTTCGGTAAATGGTCCTAATGACACGATAAGACAAGGATCCTCCAGATAAGTTTGGGTACGTACAGGTTTTTTACACTCTCGACAGCTCACCGCACCGCAGTCCACGTTCTCACACCGAAAGAGTTTCTCCATCTCGTTCTCGATCACGCACTTATAATCGCAGAAAGGACATTCCTCCAGGTTTTCAAGGCCGGCGGCCTCAATGTCCTTGCGCTGGGTCACGCGATGATACAGTTCAAGTAGCTTTGGTGTAAGGAAACGTTCCAGCTCGGACTGCGGAAAGAGAAGTTTGCATCCGGACTGATCCATGCAAACGATATTGGGATTGTGCTCGCCCAAAAGGTTGGATGCGTAGGAAGACATGCAACTTTTGCAGAACAGATGCGCTTCTGGGCACTGCACCATCTTGTCCTACTGACGAGATTAGATAATGCTTGTTAGATGAACGAGGAAAGCAACAAACAAATGGGTACAAAGAGAAACAGCAACCGCATTCAATACCGTCTTCACATTCTTCACATGCATCGTCGTCGTCTTTTCGGTCAGGAAGTAGCTGTGCATCAGCCGACACAGGTGCACTCTGTCGTTGCAAAAGCCATTGTCGCTCTGCCTCGAATTCAGGGTCGTACCTCTCTCTCCCTTTCCCGCTAACTCTCGAGGGGACGGATTTCGGAACGTAAGGTGGGGGATCCCGGTTCTCAGCCAAGAACAAATGAATTGGAGCATAAAACCGACGTTTTAGTAGCAGCGTTCGGAGATACGGCTTTGGTGCGTATGGAAAGTCGACCATAAGTTGTTCCTATGAAGACATCAGAACAATTTATCATACGAAGAGGAAAATTACATACCAAAGCCAGTTCGAGATAGTGTACGCCCCCCTTAAACTCTCTGTCCGTCGTGCCATAATCAATTTTAGGAGCAGGTTGTCCACGAGCAGCACCTTCCTCATCATCTTCGGTCCTTTTCCGTTTTCCCTTCCTATCGACTTTAGGATAACTTGGGTTCTCAAGGAGAGAATGGAGAACAAGCTCTAGGACGTTCTGTCCGGCATTGGCTGGGCTATGGATGAAATGCTCCGCAAGTTTGGAAACATGTGTGGGTTCTACATCTGGAACAATTTCAAGGACGCGAGAAACACACGCGTCAGTTGGATCCTGGACCTCCGCTGGTGGTTCAGATGATTGAGAGGGTTGAGGGAGTGGCACGAGTGGAAGCTCCGGTACTGGAGGGATATGTAGCTGTTGCGTCAACATCGGCTTCTGTTGTAGGTCTGGATCCTCATCGTCTGAATAGAACAGCGGAGTGGAAGCTTTGCGAAGAGGGTTCTGAGATGATCCGGCAGCCGGCAGAGCTGCACCCGCGAGCAAGCCATCAAGAGGTGCTCCGATAACTGGCAAGTTCGAAGGACCTGGCACTCCTGCATGCGCTTCTACTGGGCGCCTCTTTTCTGGGGACACTGGTTTACGGTCAGGCTCACTGTCAGAGTCCGTTATTTCGATGATTTCTTCTGGCCATCGGCTCGGTGCTGGTGGCGGCGGCAGCCTTCTCTTTTGTGACCTAGGCTGCTGACTTGGATGACGAGTTACTCTGAATGTCGTAGGAAGTAGTTCAGGGGAAGAAGGGATGTCAATGACCTCCATGGCGGTTGGACTTGAGCGAGCCATCAGAGGCCAGGAGTCACAACTGGCAAGTCAGTCGGGTTTTGCATTTATGCTTAAGCATAAAAATAACCACAATCCACGTCTCATAAAAGGCAATTAAATTGCCACATGTGTACCTGAGGTGGCCGCTGACTAAGCTATACCCATTCCGCTACCACCAGTACTAGTACTAAGCCATGATGTATGATGCATTGATGGATATCAAGATATTTCATCATACTAGGTAGTACTCTACTGTGCTTTGAACGGTTCATTCAATTTCCCAAGCTGGTGGGTTTGATTTGACCGCCACATACCATCACTAATAGCGCCATTGAAAGCATTGCAGGGACGCTCGAGGGTCATGAACAATGCGACATGTGTGGCCCCAACGCTCAAGGAGTCCCAGTGGCGTCCCCTAGGCAATTGTTCGGCCAGCGCAAGCCTTCGGATATGGAGACATAACTATTCTAGTCCGATATGCATCCGCTCGCACCATCTCGTGTTGTTGCGAGAAAAGCCCCCGTAACAAGAACTTCGCCGCATCCTGATTTCTCTCTACTTCCCAGAGCCATGCACCCCATGCTCAGCGGTGATGAACTTCCGCGAAACATGAGGTAAACATGCATATTACAGTTTTCCCAATTCAATATCCATTTAATAGTTGCTTTAATGCTGCATCAGCGGGAAAAGGTATTTGTACAGCCACCACTCTCTCCTCCCCAGCAAGACCGCACTTCTCTGAAGCTGGTGTCTCTGATAGCCTCTTATATCGGAGTCGTCCAATATTACAGGAGGAAACAAAATCCCACTAACAGACATACAAATACCAGCTCCGCTGCCGCGACTAGCTGAATATATTCCAGAGACTAGTTGCTTGACGATCCTGGCCAGATACCTCCTGCGTATCTCACGCACTCGACAAGCTAGTCTAGCTGCAGGTCCAGTTACTTCCCGCTCCCGCTAGGTTTCCTCTCCGTTAACTGATCTCGAATCATTTCTTTTACTGCGTATCAGAAGTACGGAGTTTTTCAACGCCGCACCCAACATGCAGGCTCTGTGTAGAATGAACCTCGCGAGATCGACTGCCTCCACTGATCAACCGACTTCGAAGGTCACGCTCGCTCTCACGCCTTCGTTCCTTCATCTGCTACAGACTCGAAGCTCAAAACTATTATTGAAGGCCATTTAGACATGTTACGTACCGGTATCACCCACAGGTGCAAGCCCAAGGATACATCGAAACAAATATTGACATACCGAATGAGCTGCACGACATTGTGATCATATCGACAATAACCTGTCTTATTTCCAATGGTATCATGGGAGAGATCTATTCCTTAAGTCGATCAGGTAGACACATGCTTGCATGACGGCAGTCCTGGTGCCAATTCTTACTTTGCTCGTACGTGCCATGTGGTGATACGAAACGAAAGATTGGATAGCCAACATGTCGGCTTTGATAAGATCACCGAGGGAGCAAACCAGCATCATCTGATATATTCGAACGTGCCCAGATCAATCAGTGCCATAAGGTCCACGGATACCCGAGTCAGTCACACGAAAATGGCTCGTGGAATACAGCAATTTTGATTTAGAAGGTGATGATATCGGCGATGAGTTCCACCTCGGCTCTCACACGACTCAGGACGTAACAACAGGACGATACTGCTCAAACGGATGCGCATACAACCCCATCATCTGCGTCCTGTGCTCTATGGCGGCATCCCAGATCTTGGCAAGTTTTGGGTCTCGACTGCGCCACTGCTGCTGGTCCAGGAACACTGGTCGGAAACGTTTGCGCACAGGAAGCTCAGCAGGCCCCGATCGTTGTTCGTCGACTTCCATCGCGGCTAACTCTACAGCTGGTCTAGATGGGTAGCTTCGCGTGTGCCGCGGGGTGGAAGGACCAGGCAATGGGGAATGTGAACTACCAGATAACGCAATGGCGAACGCCGACTTCTGCTGTTCGTGGCATGAGGTAGAATCTCCCCTCATAGCTTGCTCAAATGCAGTTATGGAAGGTGTGGTCCTTTGTGGCGCTATTGTGCGTTTTGTGGGCGAAACGCTTGCGCCAGGTTTGGAAGGTGACTCAACTCGACGTCTTTTAGTCGGGGTTTCAGGTAATAGGGTGTCATCGAGATCATCAATGGTGCTGTGGGAAAAGGCCACTACGGCACGCTTTAGTGTGAGGGGCTTGGCTGGCGTGACATCCTGTGATTTGGCTTTCATGGCGGACTTGGATGGAGACTTCTGTGGCGAGGTAGAAAGGCGAGTCCGGGGTTTCGAAGGTGCCCCAGAAGAATTCATTTCCTGTAGCTGAGATTTGATGCGGCCGGCGACTGCATCACAATCCTTATCGAGGGCCTTTATGACAGCTTTGAAAGCAGGCAGAGGGACACCATGGTTTTGACAAATTGATTTTTCTTGCACCCCCTGAACCTAGAAAGACGACGTGAGCAAGGAAATTTTAAAAAGGGTATATTATGCAGACCTCCATGATCTGACATATCCAGTAAAATATAGCACAAGTCACCGTACTGGCTTGATGACGCGTACGAAGCATGTCGACCTTGGGGATACTGCTTTCTGCTTCGTGCATCCATTCCAAGGCCTCTTCGGCAGGTGCTACACGGTACGTGCCAATGAGCGACCTGTAATTAAGACCCCTCGTATGCTGTCTCCCCATAGGACCAAGTGCTTTCCGCACAATATTCAAAGCCTTTGTAAAATCATTTTGACTGATGCAAGCGCTCGCGACAGCGGCTTTTTGTGACACTTCCATATTATTCAGTCTATGAACGATTATTAGATGCTAATCGATGGTAATCGGAAATCAGCGTACTCTTCTGACGCGAGGTACGCGCAGACACCTGGAAGTGCATTTGGATGAGTGACGAGATACCCAGTGCCAGGCCCAGTTTTGGCTTTTGCAAGTCGTAGAATCGCCTGTGCTTTCTCGTATGTTTCTCCTGAGCATAGTTTTACCAGGCTCTGTCTTTCAAATGCTGCTGCCATCGCGAAGGTGGAAGAACAAGACGCGGGCGTGACAGCTGACGCGTGATATGTGACAGTCCAGAACTACATATTCAAATTTTTAGGGGTCATGACTAAAAGCGGTGCAGCACAATTGCAATTTTCTTCGACTGGCTGCACTGGTTTAGAACTTCAATGGCCTAACCATAGCTTGCCGATACCACCACATCGTTCTAAAAGAACCATATTGCCATAGCCAAAGCGCTGTAGACTAGTTGAGCCGCATAAAAGGCGCCCCTTATTTCCATCTTTCCTCGGAATCTCCTTCCTTCCATACAAAATGCGCATTCCACTTATCACGAGTGCTCGATACCAAGACCTCGGTCGCCGAAAAGGTGGTGGCGGCGGCGGGAAAGGCGGCAGCAGCAGCGGCGGGAAGGGTGGCGGTACGGGTGGCAGCTCAGGGAGTGGGGGTAAAGTCTAACAGTCAAATTGTGGTGTCATCAAATCTGATTAGACTTTTCAGGCAAGACCTCAAAGGTACCAATCACGGGTAGCTCCGCCAGCGGCAAGAGCACCGCAATTGCGTACGGATATGGAGGTGGGAAACCCCAGACGATTCCCACTGGACAGCTTTTTGGTGGACGCACTGCTGGAGGAGCCACAAGAGCACAGATATACGGTACAAGGTTTGTCAACAGATAATTTTATCGCGAATGATAGTAACTCAGATGTCATCCAGGACGTATGGCAGCGGATATCCTGGATACTCTGGCTATGGTGTCGCAGGGCGAGGATTTCCGTTTTGGTTCTGGCCGGTTGTTTGGGGAGGATCTACAAATCAGTACCTCCACGATTCTGAAGTAACATGTTTGCCTCCTCACACCAGAAGTTGACTGACATTACCCTTCTACAGTACGGCAATTCTTTCAACACCAGTAGGCTCGGTGGACCGATGGCAGAGGCCAACTTCATTTCGAATAAGACGGGTTCTACTTTTCATTTACTATCTGACAACAGCACCATCGGCTCTTTGATCGATTCTGTCAACACCAATTGCTCGTCGAATTTGTCATCCTCGAGTTCAAAATCACCATCGCCATATAATTCATCCACTCCAGGAGGCCCTCAGCCGGAACAAGCTATACAATACTACCGCTCTTCCAGCGTCGTGCTAACTTTGGATGGCTACAATAACACCGCTACGTTCAACAGCAATCCGAATACCACGGACTCGCCGTTGCCTTCTGGGGTCGACATGTCTCTTTTAAATTGCTTGAACTACACCATTGGGCAAGCCGCTCCGTTAATCGATAGTGCCAGCTCACGGTACATCTCACCACCACGCCTTGGCTTTGCTACGCTCGTTTGGTTCTTTTGGTTTTTGGCGCACTACGTCTAATCCCTCAAGGTCATCATGTTTCATCCTCTCGCTTTTTTGGGATTCCCTGATTGTTTCCTATCATGTTCAGTTCTAGATCCGTTCAGATGATCCTGTTCGTTCCACGTTGTTTATTGATAACTTATCTTTTAGTATATTCAATCATGATGCATATGTGCATTTTTCAGTATTATCGTAGCCTGCCTTTCTAACTTTCAGAGACACGAAGGCTAAACTTTGCCCACTCCGCGTGAATGAAGTAAACTCGCCGAGTCGCTGGCAGGGAGAGAAATGTCCCTCTCGCCCGAATGCAGAACAAAGATTACGGATGACGGAACGAAATTTGAGTAACCGTTCGTGGGAGTTGCGTCGGTTGAGTTCTTGTGGCTGGATGGGAAACTTCGGCAAGCGTGCGGCCACGAGGCACGTCAGACCGGCGATGGAGAAGCGTCAAATTCTGGAGCGCGTAAGAACCGCATCATAGTATGCCTGGGCGTTAGATGCAAAGTTTCAGCAATCACGTTACAATCAGTGATGGGCCACTAGGCTAGTCCCAGGCTGAGGCAGACACGTTTCAAGACATGTATTCCCTTTTCTTAAATACTGCAAGCAGCGAGGTCGCCCATCTCTGACTCGGAGTTAATGAATTTTCTGAAAGACACACATGATTCATGAACAACGAAAATGTTAGGGTCCGACTCGGAAGCAAACGAACCACATAAACCCAAAAAGGAAGTGACAAGCTACCGACCGTTTTTGATACAAGGGAATGGATAAATCAAGGGTTTGCTTCTGGGATGAGGACCTTGAACACTCGAAGAACCGTGGTACGCTAGTTTATCCATTGAAATGCCATGACAGCAGCTCTCTAGCAGCGCACAATTCATGATTATCATCCGCCAAGAATTTAAAATAACAAGAGGCGGTGTTGTAGGTCCTGTGTATAAAATTAAATCTTCGCACCCACACTCTGGACCTCGCTTGTGAAGAACCAATCTTCGGGCGGACTCCCTACCTGAAAAGCTATAAGGAACGCCCAACACAATAACACTTTTTGTTCCCCCCTCCGAGTCTCTTTTGTATCCTGCTTTAGGGAGCTTCCCAACTACTACCGTGCTACTGTATCCATATCACTATAGACATGCCAGCCGTTCGTCTTTCACACCGTCGACGCTCATCCTTGGCCATTAGTATGTTTCTTGATCTCTTTTCTATTGGGTTGAGTGCTCATCATCATCATGAAATAGCGGCTCTTCACCCTATCAAGGCAGGCATCTACGGAATCAACACGACTCCTTCGCCACGATCAGTTACATTTGCGCCTAATGTTACACCAGTCACGTTTACCGAGACTGACGAGTCCTTGCCCTCATCAACGCCAGAACCTTCGTCGCCCACCACCCAGCTCTTCCCTCCTTCAGAGTTGCCCCCAACGACGACCAGGAGACGTGTACCTCCTGGTAAGCGCCGGTCGCTAGGTTACATCCCACGTCCCCCGAACGCGTTTATGTTGTTCCGTGCGGACTTTGTCCGTCAGAAGCACGTTCCAGGGTCCATCGAGACTAACCATGGCTCACTATCAAAGATCATCGGTAGGTCCTGACTACCCAGATAGTGTGATGTCATTCTTATGTTGTATCTAGGCAATTGTTGGAGAGCGCTTCCTCTCGAGGAAAAGCGTGTGTGGGAGATCAAGGCTAAGCACGCCAAAGCTGAGCACAAGGCGCGGTACCCTGAGTATCGTTTCCGCCCAGTCCACAACAAGAACAAGGAGAAGAAAAAAGAAAAAGCCACACCCACGGCTGAAGATGAACGCCGCTGCGAAGAGGTTGCTCAACTTCTCCTTGACGGAATGAAGGGCGACCAGCTCGCTGCTGCTATCCGCAAGCTCGATGAACATAAGGTACATGCTCCCACACCTGCCTATCTTCTAAGGCGACCCTCGTCTGTACCCCTTCCGGATTCGCGTTTCGGCGCTGCAGGGATCACCATCCCAACTCTACCGTTCTTTGCAGGCTCGCGTTCTGGGTCTCCTGTCGGAAAAATATCTCAATCTGCTCGCTACATCTTGGGTCAACGCAGGGCATCCAGTGCCCAGCCAACTATCCCCCGTCATTGGGGCACCGCTCCACTTGCCTCCTGGCAACCCGATGAGTCTCCTCTTCCGGAGGCAGATACGAGCTTGTTTGAGCCATCGTTCTTCAACTCGAACTTTTCTAGCCAAACCACACAGTCAGATTCTGCATTCGTACGTATTACCTTTGGATTTTGTTTCCGGATCGACGCTGACAACAATTTAGAACTTCAATGAGATGATCTCCACCTTCCCTCCGCATGCTTCTCAGGATATTGGTATTGCTCCCTTGGACCCATTTCACGATCTGTCAATAGACATCAATGTCATGAACTTCGACCCGAATGATCCAGCCTGGATGTCGGCTGAGTACAACAACTCTCAGTCTTCATCCCCATACACTGGCTCCCCTGCACACTCCGACACGTCTCTACCCGTTGTCGCACCCCAGCCGCAGCATGCAACCGCCTCATTCGATCACTGGCAAGACATGTCACAGCAGTACAATGTTACTGCCAAGGGGTTGGACTCTTTCCAGGGGTCCGGTGAGCAGCAGATCATGGAGTCGCAATTCTCTGGCTACTCAACTGGCATCGAGGGCTTGTTCCCACAGTTTGGCGTTATTGATACCCACGGACCTTCCATCATGGGTTTTGACTATAACTCATACTGATTGTCTCAGCTCGGCGTATATCTTCTTCCCCGTCTCCACCCACACGATCTATCACTATATGTATAGCTATTTCTTTTATTGGCTTCTGTGTTTCCGTCTCTTTTTTTCTCCCTGTTTTTATATCCTTGCTTGCACGGTATCGTTGACTTGTAGCTTTATCACTTGCTGTGTCAGATTGGATTGCGCATCTACCCTTGTAGCCATATCGTTTCTATTGTCTTGTATGCTTGTGAATGAACAAGATTATTATACCCGCCTCAACCTCGTTCTCGCGAACAAAAGTCCACCCGAGCTGGACTGAGCCGACCACTGATATCTGATATCAGCCCTCCTGTGCGGCAAGATCGGTACCTTCTCACGTGAAACCAGTGATTTTTCAGAGGCTAATAATTAGCTGCGTGGTGAGGCAGGCTGTGCGGTGCTCAACGCTTCGGCGGTGATCTTTAACACAGGTCTTTGATAGGGTGCATGTGATCGTCCTGCAGGGATGCCGCCGCCACATTATCTACTAGACGCAGTTTGGCTAGGGCAATGCGAACACGAATAAATATCCGTATAGCCGCACCCATGTAGATTTGTCAGTGAATTCCTGGCGGTTGATTTTTCCAGGGGGATGGGCTATGATACTGATAGGCGTATAAGTAGACATACAAGTCAGAAATTTACCACGGGGGAAAGATACAAAATAATACTACTGCTAGTATATACATCGTTCACGCTGCGTATAGAGTCCGATAGACGCGTACACGACTGGATCACGTGACCGGTGATTTTTATCGCGAGTCATCTAATCAACTTTAAACACCAGTAAGTGACTCAGTGACCGTGGCGTTCCTAATCAGATTCACCAGTACCACTATCCTCCCCAGGATCAACTCCTACGTGAGACCTATTACAACTATGGTTTCGTCACTACCATCTTTACCTTCTGTTCTAGGCACGGTCCCATCCTCCTGCATTCTAGATGCGTTCCGTACTGCTATTGCAAAACGTGTATCGGATGCGCTGCCGCCGCTTACCCTCGAGCAGGCTTATACCGGTGTTGATTATGGAAAGAAGGGGGTTGATTTTACGGTTGCTCTTCCCCGGTTCAGGCTACCGGGCAAGCCTGACGACCTAGCACGAAAAGTTACAACTGATGTGAGTTGACCAATCTTTTAACTGCTCCACGTCGGCTTGCTTCGCATGTCTCGACTCCTCGATGTTCTCGGTTCATCCCTTCGCATTGCTGCATAGCTTCTGATATTGTTTGCTGCCAGTTCCAACCTGATGACTTCGTCTCATCAATTACCCATGACAAGCAATTCCTACACTTCCAACTCAACACCGCTTCCCTCATCCGCGAGGTCCTTAACCAAATACACACCCTCACATACGACAGCCCCACAGGTAAGCCGTCATACGGTACAAACACCTCTGGCGCCGGCAAGAAACTCGTCATCGAGTACTCGTCCCCTAATATTGCCAAATCATTTCACGTCGGACATCTTCGAAGCACGATCATAGGCGCATTTTTAGATAACCTGTATAAAGCATGCGGATGGGAAGTTGTCTCTCTTAATTACCTGGGCGACTGGGGCACTCAAGTGAGCAAATATTTTTTCTTATTTTCTGAGAGTTAATCCGATCTCGCTAGTTCGGCATGATCACCACCGGATTCGAAAAATACGGTTCGCAAGAGGAGCTCGAGAAAGACGCGATCAAGCACCTCTACGACGTCTACGTTAAAGTCTCCAAAGACGCCGATTCAGATCCCAACGTTAAAGTCGAAGCCGCCCAATGGTTCAAGCGGATGGAGGATGGCGATGAGTCGGCACTTGCGAACTGGCGAGTGTGGCGGGAGATGAGCGTCAAAAAGTATACCGAGGAATACGAGCGATTAAACGTCTCGTTCAAAGTCTACACGGGAGAGAGCGAGGTTGGTAAGGAATGGCAGGATCGGGCTCTCGAACGCCTCGAAGAGATGGGTCTCATCAGTGATGTCGACGGCGCCAAACTTGTCGACCTCGAAAAATGGAAACTCGGAAAGGCCGTGCTCCGCAAAGCTAGTACGTCTACAAAAACCAACCGCCTCACACACATTCCTGATATCTACGCGCAGACGGCACTTCCATATATCTCACCCGTGACCTTGGCGGTGCGATAGAGCGATGGGAGAAATACCACTTCGACAAGATGATTTATGTCGTCGCATCGCAGCAGGACTTGCACCTGTCGCAGTTTTTCAAGATGCTATCATTGATGGAGTTCCCATGGGCAGACCGCCTTGAACACGTTAACTACGGCTTGGTGCTCGGCATGAGCACTCGGAAGGGAACCGCAGTCTTCTTGGACCAGATCATCCGCGAAGCCTCGTCAGTCATGCACGAGCAGATGAAGCGAAACGAGGTGAAGTACAACAACATCGAAGACCCTGAGATGGTCGCTCGAGAAGTGGGCATCACGGGAATCAAGATCCAGGATATGGCTGCCAAGCGGTGAGTATCATTGTTTCATCGAATGCTGTAGCTCATCCGGTATCAGGATCAATAACTACACTTTTAACTGGGACCGCATGCTTTCCTTCGAGGGCGATACCGGACCATACTTGCAATATGCACATGTCCGGCTCACCTCCATGGAGCGGAAAAATCCTGAGCTCATCCCACTGCCGCCTCCATCCCAGATCGACACTTCCTCTCTCGCTTCCTCCCAACATGCACGCGACATCGCTATCCTCCTAGGGTCCTACCCCGACGTCGTGAAGACTGCATTGAAGACGCACGAGCCCAGTGGTGTAGTGACTTTCGCTTTCCGCCTTGCTCACGCGATTTCAAGCGCCTGGGAGACGCTCATCGTCAAGGGGGAAGAAGATACTGAGAAAGCTCGCGCGAGGCTATGGCTCTACCTTTGCGCGAGGGATGTGTTAGGTGCTGCGATGCGACTTCTGAGCATTAGGCCTTTGGAGAGGATGTAGCGGGTGTTTCTTTGTGTCCGCATTTAAATTGATTGATATAGAATACTTGATTGTGATTATACATAAAGGTTGGGCACACTCACTTCGACCGAAATTCTTGTTTGCACTTATGTAGCGCCCGATGCAAGGCTGACGCTCAAGGTGAAGTAGTCCATTAATGATCGAAGGCGACAGTCGTGTCTACAGTTGATGTGGTCTATCTAGTGATCCTAAGTTTATGATGATCATGGAAGGCGTGTCGTTTCCCTGCAGCGGAGTTTGAACTCAGACTTAGCCATATTCATGAAACAACCGTTTGCAGAAACACCGGGCCCGTCAAAAATACAATAGGACAGCGCTGTTTGAATCGATGTACCTGGATATCTGACGTCCTGTAACGTCCTACGGTAGGAACGTGATCGATTGAATGTCGTAAGTTCAAAGTTCCGGCGTGGTCTGACTTCTTGCTTGAAGCCTATTGCCGACTTAACTCGGTTTTTTTTGAGGCGTTCTGCTGGCTAGAACTTAGACGTTAACTTCCATCGTGGACAGGCAATAGGTATGTACATCGAACATTCGAGAATTTGGATCACTGATCTATTATGTAGCAATGCTTGGCCCCATCATCCATGGTTTCAGACTGAACTCATCATTTTCACGATGCGGCTGTTGGGCCAGAACCCGCATGTGGATGGACGATCGAGTCCGTTCCAAATTCCCTTCACTCATTGATGCTGAACTACCTTTCTTGACTATGGTGCATTAAATTAACGACGGTGGTCTCCAGCCACACGTTACGGTCGCTAGGATCACCAGGGTAGCTCATCGTCCCACGACCTGCAATCATGTTGGCACTGCCAGAACGTGTGGTTGTCGTCGTGATCATACTCACGGTATGAAAGCTGTCTGATCGTACTCTGGTACAAAAAGGTCAGTCTCGCTGATCAAGGCTTTCCGACCCCCACTGGATTTTTTGGCCAAAGGGAGAAGAATGACTCCCCCTCACACTCGCTTCAAATTCTTATCTCACAATCGTTTGTCACGCCGTTCCCGCCATTTGTTCAACCGTGCTGAGCCTCAGCACACTTCAATAGAGACTGTAATTCCTGTACATGAGGATGGTCTCGGTTCGTTAGATCGAACACGGAATACCAGTGTGGATGGGCGTAAGTCCTAAATTTCTTCTTGGAATTTCTTGAGTATATATTTTCCATTAGTCAACCAAGGTCCCAAGCCGCCTGAAGAGCCCGAGATCGACCGTATAGACTGCATTTCGTCGAGCAGTGCCCATCTCTCCGATGAGCAGGCCACTTCAACGATATCACCTTTTGAAGCTGGGGATCTTTTGACTGGATCACCACGAGATGTTAAGGAAGGTCACATTGCTCGACAGCAAGTGATGATTTCCACAAGCATCATTTACGAGACGACATTCTATATGAGCGTCGATCAGGCTGTCAGCACTGCACCGTCCACATCTGAATCTCCTACCAATACATCTCCTACCCCTGCATCTCCTACCCCTACATCTCCTACCCCTTCATTTTCTTACTCTACTACGGCATCCACCAGCAGTAGTTTTCAATGTGATGGAGGTTGTTCCCTGTCCACGACCACCCTTCAGACGTCTGCTCAGCAGTCCACTCCTACACCAAACTCGTACACTACATACCCAACATTCTCAACTCCCAGTGGTGCTACAGTCGCCCCGACTTCTGATACATCCGCAACGACAACGACGACCTCGCTTCAGCCTGTCCTGGCATCTGGCACAGTTTTGTCGAGCAGCACTGTTATGGTTTCGAGCCCTCTGGCTCAACCAACGTCAGTTCCTGACACCAATTCAGACCCTCAATCATCTCCGCACGCGGCTGCCATCGTAGGAGGGGCTATCGGAGCAGTCGCTCTTTTAGCTCTTCTGATTTTTATTGTGATATGGCATCGCAGGAAAAGACGGCTCTCTGTGACACCTTTCACCCTCCCCTCAATTACAGGAACAGCACAGATCGGGTCAGGGGTCTGTCTCAAGTCCCAGAGCATAGGCGATGCCGTTCGTCAAAGCAGCAGAAGTCCATCGTTCATTCAATATTCTGACGCAGGCCTCATGGAGCGATCTGGCGACAGATACTTGTCCTTTATCACAGATTCCGTATCATCTCACTTGCCCGACGACGACGACGACCCATTTGCATCCGTCATCGTCCTGCGTCAACAGTCCAACGGGCTAGAAAAACTGTACCCATCTCCATCTCGCGCCCGCATATCTGATCATTATCGCCATTCCAATGTAGAAAACTGGGTCAACCAAGTTGTTCTAGAGGATTGTTCGCGAGAACCAAGCGAAGTGTTACCAGCGTATCGTTCAACGAAATCTTTGAAGAGCGGGGAAGCATGATCATTATGTCCCTCCCGGTTCTTGCCCTCCCTTCTCATAATCATCGGTCGCCAGGACCGTACACGATATGGTGTACTTTTGACACTTTACGCGCTACCCCCTCCTTACCCCCTCCACATCACGAACATTTGTACATATGGCATATATTGTTGATGAGGCCACCGATGCAAAGCGATCATATCGCTGCCTATCATTGGATCAACGTCAAGCCTTCCTTGCGCATGATCGGTGCCTCCATTGGCGCTTTTAGGAGTATGCATGGACCTAGCTGTCAACGAATTCGGATCTGGTTGCACTTGGCGGCATGATAGTGCCCCAAAACGCGGGAAACATGACATTGAATAAGCAACTACGATCTGCGCTGTCACAGTACCCAGCCTTTCGGTAAGCAATCCAAGTATATGTAGCGCTGAACGTTGAACACATGAACGTTCACACTGTATCAGACATGTTTATATTTGTCTTCTATGAAATTCCTCGAGGGGTATCAGAAGCGTGATCTTCATTTCCCTCGACCTCATTTGCGTTCTTGCTCTCCATAGCCAGCCAGGCTTTCCTAACCTCTTTCTGCCAGTCAGTTGCGATGTACAACGTCGTTCTCGACTTCTGGTTTCGAAACTTTTCGCGGTTGTTTTCGTGCTGCAACAGCGATGCTCCGAGTGGCGCAAAGAACCTCGTAAAGCCATTAATGTGACTACAACATGTTTTTTCATCATCTGCCGTATCTCACCCTATCGACTAAAATACAATCAGAAAATATTTAATCGGACCATCGTACCAAACCATCAGCGGTTTCTACTGGGATTCAGTACTACTGGGTGATGTCTTCGCCATACGGACACACGATGAACTCTAAATTCTACCGTTGTAGGACAACTTGAACGCGTACACATGCGAATCACTCAAGAACGTTGTAATATTGGTATAATTATGACTGTTGAAACCATAGAGAGGCATCTGATCATCTGTCAACGTTGCAGTGTTTAGTCACATCATTTACGATTTCTCTGTTAAACACATCATAATGGCTGTTGTACTAGAACTGCGGCCAGATGATTAAATAGTAAGCACCAAACTTCCGTCGATTGTAGGTCTACAATGCTTAACTTAATGGTGCGTTAAAGCACAGTTACTTACTACTTATTTCAGCAGCATCAACCTCGGCCACGGAGTTACTATTAATTATCATATTTCAAGATCTCACGACCGATCTACGATCACTCCGGCACTGCTGAAACGTTTGGTCGTCACTCGGGGTGTTCGGAAAGTTCATCTCACTCGTGTAGTACAAATAGGGTCGATCTCACCGACATAATTCTCCCAACCCCAAGATTTCTTGGTCGAAAGGAGAAATGACTCGGACTCCCCCTCCCCCTCACACTCGCTTTAATGTTTTATTTCGCAATCATCTAATATATCGTTCACGTTCGTTAAACTACGACGAGACTCAGCACTCTTCGTTGGAAACTGTACCTGAGTTGTTGGGCCGAACACGAAATACCAATGCAGATGTGCGTAGGTATCAACTTTCTTCTCGTTTTCTGATGCTCAACTAAGATGGTCTACAGCTGTTAGACGAGCCCGGGGTTAACTGCGTAGACTGCACTTCATCTGACAGTGATCATTTCTCAAATGAGCAGGCTAGTGCAATCACAGCCGCATCATATGTTAAGCGCAGAGTGTCGGAACCTAGCGAAGTTGGGAACTTTGCGATTGGAGCACCGCGACTTTTGGCAGAAACTCATATTTCCCAACGTCAAGTGGATATCCCAGACGCCCAACCTTTCTTTACATCTTCTTGTTCTTCCAATTGCCCAGTTCTCGGATATCCTAGTACCGGACTTCCGTTACTCCCCACATCTTCGTCCACATATCCCGAATCGATTCATACTACCGTTGTTGCTTCTACGTCATCTGCCTACAATACTCCTCAGCTGTCAAATTTATGTGGCACTTCAGTAGATGATACCTCTAGCTGTTCAACAATTTCCCGTGGACCCTCTTCAACTGGTAGTTACAGCCTATCCCAGTCGACGAGCTCATATCCTGACACAACATTATCATCGGCGAGTGGGGACTCTCCTAGTAGTAATTCGGCTGTAGATGTTGCTTACACTACAGTCGCCTCGACATACCAAATACTCGCAACCACCACCACATTGCTTTGGCCTCTCCCCTCAGCAGTTACATCGACCACCATTGTTATGGTCTCGAGCCCGTCGCCTCAACCATCATCAGTGCCTGACAGCACTCCAAAGCCTCAGTTACTACCTCCGACCATAGGCGCCCTCATAGGAGGAACTGTGGGAGCGGTCGTACTTCTGGCCCTCCTAACTTTTATCGTGCTGCGCCGTCGCAGGGCACAACAACTTTCTGTAACACCTTTCAATTTCCTTTCAACCGCAAGGCCAACGCAAGTTGAGTCACAGGTGGGGCTCAAGTTCCAGAGTGCCAGCGGTGCTGTCCGTCCAAGCAGCGGAAGCTCATCATTCATCCAATATTCCGATTCTTGCCTCGCAGAGTATTCTGGGAATAGATCACCATCAAGTGCTACAGATCACATATCATCTCACTTGATCGGTGACGAGATCTCTCCGTCCAACGTTCCCAGGCGCTATCGGTCCCGTGAGATAGAGAAGCTGTATCCATATCCGTCTCACGTTCCCACTCCAGATCAGTATCCAAATCACAGTTTAGAAAGCTGGACCGAGCACATGGTTAAGGATGGTTGTTCGCAAGAACCGAGTGAAGAACTGCCGGCTTATCCTCGTTCGGTGGAACATTTGGGGAGTAAAGAAGCAGACCATGACGATCATTATGTCCTTACCAGCTCTTGAACTTCCATCCGATAGACAATACGTTGATAACCAGGACCACGAATGATGTAGAGTACCATGTATCTTCGTTGAGGTTTGACCAGTGGTACGTACCTGCCCTGAAACCAGTGTCTGTGTTAACACATAATTGCCATTGCCTTAGGGCTGCGTCGTTCTGATAATGGCCGCTGCATGAGAAGGCTGCGCTTACTTGATTTAACTTGGAGTGCAGGGAGGTCGGAGAGCCAAGTCACCGACACCTTAATTCTGAAGGGTGTCCACAAAATGGCAGGTCTCGACTCTCCTGAAACAGGACTGTTATTGAAGTAGACCTGCCATTTTCCCGCCACCTTTATGCAGTGAGGCTTCGAGCGGAGTTCTCCAACCCGTTATGATCAATAGTAAAAAAAACATCGCGGGTCTGTTTTGAGTGTGAGAAGTACTAGTGGGATAGTGGTGTGGAGGACTAGTGATATTGACGAGGCGCTCAGCATGGAATCTTCATAATACTCAAAACTAAGAATGAGGATAGGGAGGGAAGAGATCGATGAGAACGGGTGAGTGACCCATCTTTGGGTTTCTATGGTGGTCTTCCTTTGCGGCGGGTGTAGTGGAACTTCATCTTCGGCAAATACTGGAAAGCAAATAGCTGTTGCGGTCACCTAGTCCAGCTCCCTCACCCGGTCTAGTTCTTTGACAAGCTATCGTCGTGTGTGGCATTTGTCAACAAGTGGATCAGCATGCCTGAGGCTTCTGAGCGAGTATCAATCCATCATTGCATCCCCGGGGAACCTCGGAAGCGGATTCAGAATCACAAATAGTCCCCGCACTAAATTTCGATGACCTCAAGCTGTGGATACAAATCAGCTTGTACTGGAGTCCTTGAAACAGGGAAGAGCCTACACTTTCCGTATCCATATGAAATGCGTAAATTCTGTCGTTATCAATCCAAAAGAGGGTTGCATCGTCCTGCGAAATGGATTTCTGCTCGACACGACCTCGACATAAGCCAAAGACGTTGTTACCAACTCTCCCTCTAAGTCTATCATAGATGGCTCTCTCACCACTCGTCCTAGACCTTGCCGGTGCAGAACAGCTAATGGACTGAAGTCCATCATATGTAATCTATACTCCATAGTAGGGTCGTCCGAGTCATCCATGCTTTGTGCTGTAGGGACTGCCCTCAAGACTCGACTCCCGCCAACGCCAACGCCGAAGCCGCAGTCGTGCTCTTAAATACGAGTACTTAAAGGGCCCCAATCCTTCCAAGGTATTGCCGTTGCCATTTCTTCGAAGAAGTCGAACTCGGAAAAAGTGCTAGGGGAATGACAAAAAGGGCCAAAGGAGAGGCTGTGATAAGGGATAGTACTCGATCACTAGGGTCTGAGGCCCAACTTGTGTGTTGTATCCCCGTCTGTGAAATATGTGCGATATTGTCCTTTGAAGGAAAGCATTTGACGGCTTCAACTAGGAAAGGCAACAAGAAACATGCCAGCAACTGCGGTGCCTGGGACATATCCTCGATTGAATAGACCTTCAAATTGTCGCCGGCAATTAGCAATCTGTTGTTTCCGAGGAAACAGGAATCAATTGAATCCTCGAGCCCGATAGTGAATAAAGTATCCCTGAGAATGCACTAAACCGAGCATCAACCATTAAGTTTCTGAGAGGGCCCACTCACATTGGGCGTTGTCGAATGAGCCGGTCCCAAATCTGCAACCACCATAGGATCCCGTCTGGATCACGGAGTAGCAGGAGATGCCAGAGAGCAATATGCCTCTCCAGACCGCCAAGCCTCCAACTCTCACATCTCTGGATAATGTTCTGACGTCCAGGAAACCCCGGCACCGTAGACAGTGTCGGTCCAACAGCTCGGGGGTGGGAACCATCTCCATCCAAAGCCAAAAGGTCGATATAGGCACCCGATTTGTCAATGATTTCATATGCAGCAGCAACTAGGTTTTGCTCTGGGTCGATGAGTACATCATTGATGTGTGCATTGGGAATCAATAACAGCGGTTCAGGACAGTGTCATTCACGGTTGATTCCTTGTTTTGTGGACTTTGGCAGTATTGAAGATATTTTGGCAAAGCCTGGGCCGTCACCATGGCCAAGGCAGAGGTGCCCATTGGAGACAAATGTTTCGCATCTACAAACGTTTCTGGTACAACGGCTGTTTGGACGGGTCGAGTGTCAAACTTAAACCATGCGTGAGCCTTGTCCCTCAGGAGTCGTAGGCGCTCTGAAATGGGAGTGTAGTTGTAAGCTCCGAGGCCGACAGGGAGCAGTCGTTGACCACCGAGTTTAACAATGTACTGAAGCTCAGAAGATGACAAGTATGTCTCACGAAGGCCTTTACATACCTGTAAGATGAATGTCAGTACAAAATCCCACTTAGGAGTATCGATGACGACAAGTGAAATGATGCTCACAGACGTACACCGAAGAATAGAGAAACAGAAACTGGGGCTTCATATCCTGGTTCATGGTGATGAAACTTGAAAAAGAGACCAGAGTCTCACCTAAGGCAAAATTTCAAAGCCCCTATCCTGCAGGAGAGCGTATAAGTCTTGGTTCTTACTTCCAACCGTACGACCAACTGCCAGTGCGTCCGAGTGTCAGGTCCACTTGGAAGGAGAAAAAGACTCGGCATTGGCAGATGAGATGAAAACAGTGGGAAACATGCACATCACTAGTGGTTCGAATTAGCTTACTGTCACCCAAAAAGAAAATTCAAAACCCAATGTGATCTATGTAAATGATGACCTCGAACAAGTGCAGGGCCTCCCGAGTTCCAACTCCGAGTCCTCGGTCTGAGTCAATCGCATCTTCGGCAAACACCGAATAGTGGCAAATAGCCCTCACTGAGATTACCTTGTCATGTATCCCTCTCCGGTCCAGTTATTTGCTGCTAGTATCGTTGCGTTGCTCTCAGCATCAAGAATCTACTCGTCATTTCTGTACATGGACCTCGATTTTGTGAGAGACGTAGGGCGCTTGGCCAGTCATCAATTGATCGTCGAGTTTTCTTTGCAAGACTCATCAGATTCAGTAGGCGCTTCCAGGCTCAGCAACGATGACGACTTCCTGAAAAATTCGATATTCCTCCAACAAACGAGCACATGGATGCAACTAGTAGCATCGTCCCTTTAAAGTCGTCATTCGTTTGATTTTTGTTCCTCCGCACAAGACACAGGCAGTTTCCTATCAGCGTGGACTTGTAAGTTGTACCTGGTTTCTTCAATGTTTGGTTACTGCATCTCCGGTATTGTCCGTCCTTCTACCACTGATACATTGGCTAACTACACGTCTTATGCCCTCTATCCGATTGGAAAGTGCAGCGAATGTGAACGCCACTGATGAGCTAGCTCCTTCCTGAGATGTATCCTTTTCGTTGGTTTGGACGTCCATATTGTAACGTTATTATATTGTGGGCTTCCAGACCGACCGAATGCGTAACAGACCCCTTCTCAGCATTGATTTGAGAACAATTAATTGGCGCCTCTGTGGGGTGCCAACTTTTTATCATCGGATGTCACACTCAGCTGCAGCACAGATCCATCGGCCCCCTTTCTCCAGTTGCTCATACTCTTGCACACCGTCGCCTTTCTTTTCACCTCACTCTCAGGCATCCTCTACCATGACATCAGCTCAATTGGACTCCAGGTCATATATTCGGCCTTTCTGTCATGCACTTGACGTCGTTTTCAGCGGTTTGTAAACACTGTTTGTACTAGACAGGCTCCCTTTCACTTCAACTCCCTTCTCGTCCTAGTACTCATTCCGCACCACTCAACCCATCCTCGATTCTCCTTGTCAATGCACCACCATGCTGGGAAGGCCAACCTATCAAACTTGGAGGTAGGTTACTCCATATCACCTCCGAATCGTTTCGTCATACTCATGCTAAATCTACAGTCACGAGTGAAAAAAATCTCAAAAGTTCCCTCCATCCTCATACCCGCACAGGACCACCCCAATCATTTCGTATCTCTCTAATATCTTACAGAAGCGCTGAATTTAGCGTACAAAAGAAACGTGCCATGCCATACTGCAATTGATCCTCATGCACCGCTGTCTTTGCCTGACTGAGATCGTCTTGCGTTCGATGCTCGATTTTTAACCCAGTTTTCGACAGGTATTTTTTAAAAAAAAAAAATTCAATTGAGGTATGATAGGTATCATTTGTGACTGATGCCTGTAATCCTACCGTTTCCTAACACTGAAGGTCGACTTTCCGTCCTCGACCTCGCACTCACCTGTCGCGAGCCAGGACAACGTCCTTCACTCTCACATGAGTAAAATCTGGCCTCTCATCAAGTCCCTGCCTGATGAACTGGTTCTGTCACCCAGTCCTTCCCCGGTTCACCTGACCAGTTCCGTCCATCAGTCCTCTGCACTGCGCGCGTCCAGATCCTCTTCAATTCCCCTAACGCAGTATAGATTTTACATTGTAGGGGTATGCCGGGTTTTACATTCATTTAGGGAGGATGAAGCCAAAGAATGCAAGTGGACGAGTACTGTCAGGTTGTCCGCCTTTCATCAGCACAAAACCAAGGTAGATAAGTTTGAATCACAATGCGCACGCACATCATGTAATGGAAATCCGAGCAATGAAGAACCTTGTGGTGGTTTCTTGGAATTACTGCCTGTGTTCGATGTTACTACCTGCTCGTATTCTATATTCTGCGTAGTTGCAGGGTTTTTGAGCCAAATAAGATTGTCCGGATGGACGGAAGATATACCAGGGCGAGACAAAGAAATGGTTGGAATCGAACTTGATGATTGCAGGTCACATTCGACGTGGACATGGTGCAACCGTTCTGCAGCCGCCATTTGATATTGAGCAAAGAAGTTCTGCGCGTCAGAGCCACCACGCAACCTATACACAACACCATGAACATTGAAGCCCACTGGTGCAGGGATGTCGTGCAAATTGCCCACAAGATGGCTTCTGAGAGTTGCATTCTTCATCAATTGTGCGTATCCACCATGAGAAAGGTCATCATAATGATAAACCCTCTTGCCGTCAGGTGAGTAGCGAGCAACGAAGTGTGCCAGCTTTGGTGTGGGGTCACAAAAGGCGAGGCCGACCACACCATAAATGAGGGAATGCTGTTCTTCGGCTTCTTTTGTGAGGGGCCTTATGTGCTTCGGAATGTTCCATTTGTTGTCACGATGAAGGATATCACCAAACTCGACTATCAGCATCACAGGAATCCCAAGATACAAAGTGACGAAGTTGGGGGATCCGTCACATAAAACTTGCCCATCCAAAGTTCGCCAGCAATAGGTCTTAGAAGTGGCCTCCTTGTTCACGCGAACGAGATCACGGAACCAAGCGGCTAGATCACCCTTGTATTGAGCAGAGAGTTAGTATACACCCTAAAGTACTGCCGTCAGACACTAGGTGATAGAGTGCTGAAATTGCAAACTTTAACTCAAGGATTGCACTATAGGAACCTCGTGGGCTTGGGCATTGGGCGGTTTAACTTTAAGCGCCCTTGTAACGGCCTCCTTCCGATCCATTGTCGCTTTAAAACCACCCTTTACTCATTGGTCGGTCAATAACACCATTGCGGACAAGATATCGTCCGATAAGAGCAGCTATGATAGCTCCTACACCGACAATTACAGGAGTTGCCATGAGGAGGAAAAGAAGAGCGCAGGAGTGGCTGTGCTGAGTTTGGTTGGTAGTGATGTGACTCGGATACCGTGTTTTCTTGAAATGTGACTTATCGCGTTTTGTGTTTAGGTAGCTGGAAACACGAGTTTTGTGAAAGTGCCGACTTCTGGGGGCTGCCGATTGCGCGTACCATAATAGTACGTGGCCCACCTTAAAGCTGGATGGATCATCGGCGCTGAGTGACGCTGGATTGTAGTTACTCTGGGATACTGGACACACAAAGTACCTGTTCTTCCCAAGCACAGCCTATGCGTGGTTCCTCGTCCCCCTTTCACTGGTCACTTCCTGTAAAATGTCGTTACCATTCATGGACAGTAGACGCTTATCCAGCAATAAATAGCTCTGGCCTTGGACCACGTTCCTACATACATACGCACGTTCAACGCATTGTCATTGTGCGCTTTCTCTCTTCATCTCTTAAACCCATGACCCACACGTACTTCACTCTGCAACAGAACGTTTATCATGCTCGTTATGAGCCCATAACCGTTGAAGATGTCGACGAGCTCAATGTTTCTTTTCCAGTCTTACAGTGTCTTATCAACTCGGCTCAAGGCGCCACTGTTGGAGTAGCAGCCACGTATCGCCTCGACTGTACTCTTTCGTCTTTAGCATTTGCAACGCTTACCAAAGCGCTCGTCATCCACTTCTTCTCTGCGAACAAACAGAACCTGCAACAGCAGAAGAAGAAGGGGAACCAGGAACAACAACCTCAGCTTTCCTGAGGACGCATCCTTATACAAGACGAAATTCTGTGTAATAGTGATATTAAACTCTATGGGTACAGGATAGACAGAATCGCAATCGGTCTCTTCCTGGAGCTCTCACTTCGGATCAATGCCGGAGTGGACATCCTGTCGGTGTCCAACAGTGGTCGGCGCTCCTTCCAGGCAATTATGGACGCCTTGGGGGGCGAGATCTTACTCCAGAAGTCAAACCTGAAAACCCTCTTCACTCATGAAGATGGGGACACAGCAACCAAAGATGTGGCGCTTCAAGCTTGGGCAGCATGTCGCGCTGCTACACTGGATGTCATGATGCTTAGATATGCTGCCTTATCTCGAATCGCCACAGACATAATACCAGATGGTGTATGTAATCTTCATCCCGTCATGGGCGCCTCCCTCTGATTGATAATGTAGCATCTGAGCGCCCTGGCAAAGATCTCTCGGGACGCTGAAATTTTGGACTCTATGAAACCAAGGGAAGTCGTCAACCATGTCAAAGCAGACTTCAACCACAAGAAGGGTAAGGTCAACCTCGAGTGCACTCGCTTTAGTACGCGTATCATGAAGTCTAGAAATGGCGAACCAAGTATGTAAATTCGTGAGACGGTATGCCACCAACTCTGAACTTTCGCACTTGCAGGTCATCCAAATCGAAACGATGCTTGGAGATAAGCGGACAATGGTCACTGGTCGCGCAAAGCAAATAGATGGAAAACAGGCTCATATTAACATCGATGGCGAGGTACATGCTTCGAGCAAGGTCCTCACCGTGACAACTGTTGGGAAAGGAGACTTGACAGCCGCTGAATCACACAAAGAAGATGTAGTGCTGAAGGCACTTCAAGGTACCATAACGTTGACCGAACATCCATTCTTCTGTAGTATCTGGGCGCCGTCATTAAACGTATCGTGGCCGTCCCAGGATACTTCCATCACATCGGTCATCGATTATCCTGACAGTAAATTGAACTCCTCGCAATCTGTCGCAGTGGAGCGAATTATTTCGCAATCGGACACAGATCGTGTATTGTTAATTCACGGTCCTCCTGGCACTGGCAAAACAACAGTCATAGCGGCCAGTGTCAATAGCATGATTAAAACCGGCCCTAAGGAGCGTACGATTTGGCTTGTGGCGCAGTCCAACGTTGCTGTGAGGAATATCACAGAAAAGCTTGACAAGGTTGGCTTCCGCGATTTCAAGCTTCTTGTTTCCAAGGACTTCCATCATGACTGGTATGTCGCACCTTTCTCACACCTCCGTCACACTGATTTTTGTTTTCGTATTGCAGGCACGAAGACCTCTACCAGAGCCTGGAACATTGTTTCATATGATCCGACCTATTTGGTGGCTCTGTCGTTGAAATAAGTCGACTTTTGCTCGGCGCAAGAGTCATACTTTGCACGTTGAGCACGCTATCCAATCCCAATATCGATACCATCACTCGTATTGTCTCGGTACAAACCGTGATATTTGACGAGGCAAGTCAAATCGAAGTGGGAGACTACGTGCCGCTGCTTCAGCATTTCCAGAACAGCCTCAAAAAGATGGTGTTCATCGGTGATGACAAGCAGCGTGAGACCCGGTTAGTATTTCATCATTAACCTGTACTGACTTGGATCTTAGTGGCGCCATACGGCCAAGATGATATTGGGCAGCTACGAAGTGTGTTTGAGTTCCCTCACCTCCGGAAGCAGGCACAGTTTTTGGATATCCAGTGTAAGCTCGTATCCCAACTTCATCTCCTCATTGTTTCAACTCCATCCAGACCGCATGCCAGTCGTCATTGGAGACTTCATTTCCGACCATGTATACAATAAAAAGCTGAAGACTAAGCACGACGACACCAGCAAAACAGCATGTCGTTTCCTCGATGTCAAAATGGGTCGGGAGGAGTCAGTGGGACACAGCTGGATAGTACGCCTTTCTTCCTCACCTTCGTGAATGTGAATCTCAGCCTTTCGTTTTTTGTATTAGAATCAAAAGGAAATATCCGCGGTTATCGGCCTCGCCCGTTTATATGAAACCCAGGGCAAGAAGTTCAAGATCCTCACCCCATACGATGCTCAGAGGACTAAGATTGAAGAGCAACTAAAATCAGCGGAGCTTCTGTGGGAAGACAAGTGCTTCAACGTGGACTCCTTCCAAGGCAAGTTATTCCTTAACATTCTGGAAGGATCTGGCTGATGTTCGGTGCAGGAAATGAGGAGGATCATATAATTGTCTCTCTAGTCCGTTCCCAGGGCGTAGGGTTCTTGAAGAACGTGCGCAGGACTAACGTCATGCTGACACGATGCAAGAAAAGCATGATCATTTGCACGAGCCGTGATTTCGTGATGAGGGGTCAAGCAGCAGGCACGCTAGTCGGGAAGCTTGCTGTTACCATGGGCCCTCAGGCCTGGCAGGACAGTGTAGCAGGGTCTGGCGCAAGCCCTCTGTCGGAGGGCCTGGGGTCCTGGCACAGTGGATGGAGTTTAGTAGCAGGGATGTCTGGCGCAGGTCCCCTCGTATCACCGAGCCGGAGTTGGAGCCAGAAGCCTCCATCAGAGTGCCTGGGTTCCTGGCGCAGTGAGAGGAGTTTAGCAGCAGTGTTGTCTGGTCCTCCGTCGGAGTGCCTGGGCCCCTGGCGCAGTGAAAGGAGTTTAGCAGCAGGGTTGTCTGGTCCTCCGTCGGAGTGCCAGGGATCCTGGCACAGTGAAAGGAGTTTAGCAGCAGGGTTGTCTGGTCCTCCGTCGGAGTGCCAGGGATCCTGGCGCCGTGCCTGGAGTCCAGGCTCATAGTCAGTTGTCCTCGTGATCGGCCCTTCGAGCGAAAGATAGAGCTGCCGCCTCCCGCTATAGAGGTTTGGCCTTGGGTTTCCCTTGCAGTCCGTGCCTGGTCCAACAGTCTTGATATCGTCAATGGCATTTTCAAGTGATTTGAACTGTCTACATTGCGCTTCTTGGATGAGCTTTGGAACTTTCTTCAACTTACTCGAGGCATCTTGCACCTGAATTTTGTATCTTATGGCAATTGATGTATGTACATGCTATAAGCCAGAGTCCACGTAGAGACTCGTTATGTTGAACCATTTGCATATGGAAACTTGTACTTAGCATGCACGTCGATGTCATAAAGCTCACAGGGACAGTCAACCTCTTGGAGGCCACCTTGATGCCAAGGTCAGACACTGAGCACTGAGTGCCGAATCTGTCACCCGCCCTGCAGCCATACCTACTGTTGTGCCTCGCCCTCCACCAAGTGGGTAGTCAACATGTCCATCCATTCTTCCACTTCTTGATTATGGCACCAGACTCGGATTATATTTGCAGCCAAGGAGCACACTTACCCTCAAATGGACCAGTCCAGTGAAGCTGGTATTTTTTGTACCACATCATGGCACTGTATTTATGCTGGTTGATTCCTCGTGGTGGTGTGTGTCAGACATGGCTCTGTCACTGAGGTGTTCCATCACATTGGCGTCTACTTGTGATCGCATCCATCGAAGTACTACGTCAACAAAAGCGACAAAATCATTAATGGCCAAATATGCTAATTTACCTATTCTATTCCGATGCCAACCTGCTATGGACATTGTATGCGCATCGATTTGGGGTGAAATAATTCGAGGCGTTTGTATGACTCTACCAGCCTGGCAAGCATCTTGCATGTACATTCATTTAGCGTAAAATAATTTAAGCCATTTGCATGATGCTGCCAGCCTGAGATACACTTTATAATGTTGGTGAAATATTTTCAAGAACATACAAGGGCGTTTATACAGGCATACATCATAAGTAACAATATCAAAGCTCACCATAATCATCTGCCTCATCCTTGTCATCCTCCCCATCCTCAGCTCCCAGGACAGCATCATCTACCTCACTGGTGGCACCTCCATCATCCCCCCCCCCCCCCCATCTTCATCTTTGTTCTTGTCACTTTCTTCAAGCTCCTTGATGCCATCATACCCATATTCTTCTATCTCATCCTCATCTGCCTCCTCATCTGAATCAAGCCCTGGCTGCTCCGCACCTTCAGTCTCGGTATCCTCCATCTCAGCGTTGCCACGCAACTCTCTCTCATCTGAATCAAACTCTGCATCTTCAATCTCCATATCATCCATCTCATCATTGAACTCTTCTTCAGCATTGGTCTCCCCTCCCTCGTCCAACTTGTCACGGTCAGACAAGAACCAGTCGGTGGCTTGCCGGGTGGATTTGTGTCCGACTCCGCCTCCACGAAAGCGCATCATCATATCTCAATCGATGAACCTAATGGGGTTCTAAGGTAAGACATGGTGGCACTAATAGACGAGAAAACTTACATATTAACATAAAAAAAGGTCCAATCTTCATTGTTGTTGTGAGTCGGACGTGCAATTGAGGGTGGAAGAAGGGTGTCAGTATGACCATAGTGAAATGCGGGGACGAGATGAATTCCGCGGATGACTTGCTGTGGGTCCAGGAAACCAAAGGCTCCAGGGTCATCACTCGGAATGAAACCTACCCATTCAAGCCTCTTCACCTTCCAACCAGCAGTGTAGGGGTGCCGTTGTAGAGACTCGCGTTTCTGCAGGCACATATGGGCTCAGTTTACGAATTCTGACAACTGGCCTTCATGGCACAACTCGCACCATCATCCACTATGACTTCCACCATGGAGCGCGCCACTTCCCGCGAAATGTGCCATAGGCGTGACACTTTCCTGCACAATGCGCAGTATTCCCACATGCGCGCCTTGCGCGCTTTCTCGTGCTTAAGCGCACCGCATCGCATATCATCCAGGAGCATCCATCCATCATCTAACTAGTCCCTTGGTATGTCCCTTTTTGTTATCTGACCATATTTGGCATATTACACTTCCTATTTTGTCATGGACCCTTACTTTACATCACTTTACATCATTTACATACTTAGAGCGCTCCCTATTCGGCTCCGAGCCCTGGGAGAGCGCTTAGGTAGAACTTACATACTTTCATGTTCATTTTACACCCAACTTTTCCACCTTACCTTCCTACCACTCAGTATCTTTGGACCACCATGTACTTGGCAGTTAGTTCCATGCAATGCATGTATCCATCATCGTCTTGAGGCCCTAGCATCAGTCTATAGCTAGTGGCACTATCAGTATCCGTCTAGATCTGCACTTTACCTCTTATCAGTCTCAGTATCCGTCTTCTACACTTGTGCACTGCTTGCACTACCTCCCCGCGCTTCGCATACCTTCGCACTTCGCTTTCCCATGTGCGCCTTCAGCGCATTTCTCACGCTTTCACCGCCATTCACCAGGGTTGATCAGCATCATTCCATGGATCCTTGCTTTCTTTGCTTCCCCTTTAGGGTCGAACATTCTTGCATTCTGCGAGTATAGCAGCTAGGCAGAGCTGAGACTCACTTATACTGGCTGAGCACTTTTCTTATATGTGCCTGCCAGGTTGTGATACCCACACCGTTCTGTTACAGGATCTCGGCTGAACCATCGGACCCAAAGGAAGTCCATTTGCTGGGGTTCATGGGATTTTGAATGCTCGCCAGTGTGAATAACAAGTGCGTGGAATATGCCAAGAATTCGAGCATACCAGTAAGGGTGGCCATCACCACCATCCTCGTGTGCAAGGAGCATGATATCAGCATTGGTCCGAGGATTAAGGGAATCTTGATTACAGTGCAAGTCGTAAGTTGTATAATTGACCCAGAGAACCTTGTGGCGAAATATCTTTTCACGGACAAGTGTTATGGTGCTGTGCTCAGCAGATGTGAATTCTCTCTCGTCTCCATCATATTCTAGCCCACACAGGCGGGAGAGTAGATGGTCTTTTAGTTGAGGTAAAAAGTTTTTGTGTGAATTGTTAGTAGACTTCTATTCCACGTAGACAAGACAACTTACATTCAACGCGGGATCACTCTCATGTTGCGCCAGCCACTTGTATATATTGACGTGATACCGAGTGCTGGTGGAGATGTGATAGTGGTGTTCTGGATCACTGTAATGCAGCGGTTCCGAGTCCTCGAAGTGCAGCGCAGGTGCATCAGGAGAGGACAACCAAAGTACTTTGCTCTTCTCCTTGCCTGCATCTTGCTTGCCCTTTCCCTTCATTTCATAGGGAGATCCTTCTGCCATCTTACACAGAAGACGCTTGTGACATTGCTGCTTAGCTATGCCAGCAGTGAATTTCGCCTTGCTCACACAAGGATAGAACCGTTTGACTCATTGGTGTTCACATTCTCCCTGTAACAAATTTGTAAGTGAGTGTAGATACAAAAACAAAAACATACTGGCTGCGTCGAGTAGTTATCACTTGTTCCGAACTTTCAGATTGCTTCCACATAGTCACTGAGGGCATGGAGCTTATAAGTTTGAAAATTAAAATGTCGTACTTTTGGCCCGCTCATCTGCTGACCAGACCTTCGAGGTCCCTGGTCAGTCGAGCTTCCAGTACCTTTTGCAGCCTTGTTGGCTTTACAATGACCTCGCGCAGCTTCTTTGCTTGGAAGATCCTTCATAACATACTCCTTTGCTGTTGCCTTCAAGAAGCTCCTGAGAAACTGACTGAGTCGTGTTGGTGTGCATCCGCAGCTTCACCAGACCATGCCACATAGCAAGCTCAAATAAGAGGTCAAGGAGAGACTCATTGTAGGGTAATGGGAGGAGGCCCTTGAATACTAGTATGGCACACTGAAGATAACATAGATAGTTGTTGGAAAATACTGAATAAGAGACGTACCTGCAATAAGTCTTCAAAGTCTCTCCCTGCAAGGCACTTCATTCCAGAAGCATTGTTGCTAAATGACATATTGTTCCATGACCAAAGGTTGGAACTTGATGAAATCTTCATGGACGCCATGAGAAGACTCTCGCACATGTGAAATGATACCTCACCTCCGATTCAGGTTTTGAATGGCCTCTTCACCATGTGCATATAAAATGCAAAGAAGGTGAGTAAACACTGCCTTCCACACACCCAGTTCAAACTCATGCAGGAGGTCAGGGACACAAAGTTCATAGAAGTTGACCCCAAAGCATTTCAATCGAGTCTAAAATGCACTCTAGAGTGTAGCGAGTCAGGCTGGTAGTGAGCTGATGATAAACAGTACTTACAAGTGTTGGAATGAGTGACCTGGGACCAAGGTTATCCTTCACACGCTTGCTAGTTATATTTACTCCCTTCCTGTATAGCAAGTCTCGAATTATGGTTATTGTCAACCAGAGCCAATGACTGTCTTTGCGAATATAATGCTCTCACCTGCGTCGATCAACCTTCTTCCCTAAGTCCCTGATCTTGCTCTTCAAGGTTAAGCAGCGAGGGCATGGACACTGAGCAAGGAACTTTATACAAGCCAGTAGCATTCTAAATTTTAAGATCAGTCACAATCCATTGGAGAAACTTAGAATGTACTTCTCGGGATAGTCAGCAGAATAGGTAAAGAAGTGAGGAAATATGTGCCGTCGAATCCCATCAAGGCACTCGAGTATGATGCCAAATTCATAGGCATGCATGAAGTCATCGTCCATGAGGAGTAGCCAGATGGCCTGCATGAGCTCGTGATGACAGTGTGTAAGAACCTGTGATGTAGCAGCTTTACTGAAAGTATCACAATAAAAGTCTTGTATTGTGTCGGAAAGCTAGTGAATGAATTAGAGAATGTACGATTACTGTTTTTTGTTTGTACCTTGGGTATATATGCAATATGATGCGCAGCAAATGCAGACATTTTACCTTGTATATGCTTTGATTGATTTCCAAGAAACAAATATATCAGCCAAAGAGATGCAGTCCCAAAGCTGGCAAGATGGGTAGAGTCAGACCAAAGCATGATAGCGGCTACTACAGTCTCCAGGGTACACCCATCCTCGCATGGTTGAGAGTGTATACAATCATGTTCTTTAAGCATCATGGGAGAAGTGTAGATTTTGGAATAGATGCGTTCAGGAGGCCTGTCAGGACTGGGGAGATAGTGTTGTTCAAAAGGTGTGAAATGAAAATGCTCGGCTGATGCTTCACGGAAGGCATTTTTAATCACTTCCAGGGGACGACGGTAAAATAAACCAGGAACAGAAAATTCTGGTGTGTCCTCCAGTGACTCATGCATGACTCCATCTGCTGGGACATGGATCTTCACACTCGTCTCCTGCCAATCGTCGCTTGTAGAGAATGATGAGCGAATGTCGTCTGGGTTACCATGGTAGTTATCTAGGCACTCAAACTCCTTCACCAGGATCACTTCATTGATGAGGTGATCCAGTTTCACCAATGACTTCATATTAGAGCTGCTATAAAACCAGCACATCAAGAGGAACATCATGATATTGAGAAATGGTGCAAAGTAGTTGACCTTTACAGTGTGGGAAACACAACAAGAAGAGAACTCTGTAAAGTACTCTTCAAATGTTGGGTCAAAATTGCTATGCCTAGCTGCTATTCGACCCTAAAGGATTTCTGTACTAGACTCAGAGCTCAGGGAGTAGAAATATCCTCAAGCAAAAGACTGTGATTCAGACTGGTACTGACAGTGGTGAAAGGGAGACATGATTATGTAAGCAGTAAAAATGCGAACATAAACTAAGGAAAGTGGGTAAGTGAAGGTAAGTAAAAAGGGGGAATATCAGCCCAGGGAAAACTATATTGTCACATCTCATGGGGACTTTGGATACTGACTGTCCCCAGTCAGCTACACATGCAAACCAACACTAAACAAAACTAAGAAAAGTAACCTGATGACCCTCACACCTGTTTTCAATGATCAGTAGGGAGTCATATGAACCGCTTTGGTGGATGAGGGGTTAGGCAAGGCAAAGAGTGGTACCCAGTACCTGTTTTCACTGATCAGCAGGGAGTCAGGTGAACCACTTCAGTACTGGGGGCCTGGGGCAGGGGGGAATGGGTAGGACAGGGTAATGGCTGCATGGAAGGCGACGGGGAGTAGACGGATGGAAGGAGGCGAATGAGAGCTTCAAAATGAGTCTAGGGTTGACAGGGTTTGGTGAAGGAATGGGCAAGATATGAAGGAAATGGTGAAAAGGGGTGATAAATTGACAGGGCGATGTAAAACGCGGATTGCGAGGGAACGACTGAGCGGATCAGGGACGCAATGGGGATGGATGGATAGCCCTGGCAAAGAGCTCCAGAATGAGTATAGGGATGATAGGGATCCGATAGAGGGATGACTGGTGAGAGAGGCAAAAGTGCGTAGGGGGTATGAGGAGGGGGTAGGCAGTTGAGACCCAAGGACTGGTCTGATCAATGGGATGAATGGCGCGATGGCAAGAGCCACTGAGGGATGCTGTATGGCCAAAAAAGCGAGAGGGGACACGCTCTAGATCTCCCAGGATAAGCATTCTACTCCACAACCTCTCCAAAACACAAAACCTCCATATCTCCACAACTACTGGGCCAAATCGGACAAATGAGGGCTCATTGGAAAGCCAGGAATGAGGGAAATCCAGCCCTTGAAATGCGAGAGGTCCGCTCCAAAAATGCGTGAGAAATCGCCTTATCACTGCTGAGGGAGCAGGAGAAGATGGTGTAAATAGGGGAAAATGATAAAGGAGTGACTGTGGTTGGTTAAGAGGCGAATTTGGGGGATGGTTGGTGAGCATGGAGAGCCTAGAAACAAGAAACCCTCACGGTGGGCTCCAGTTGTGAAAGAGTAATAGCGACTAGGCTGGTTAGAAACTAGTGCTACTTATCCAAATAGGCGCAAGTGTAATATTCGACCCAAGAGGACTGCTATTGAAGCAACTCCCTTCAAATATGCAAGGGTAGCGATGATGCGAAGGGCTAATAACCTATAGCGACCTAAGACCAAAAACCAATGAGTAGCGCTGTAGTGATCAGCGACTAGCGACAAGTGAGTTCTGACAGAGAAACGTGCGTATAAGTAAGTAGCGCTATGCGACATCCGACTAGCGACAGCGAGAAGAAATCAAAAGAAGGGAAAGCGAGGGATAAGGTATGATAGTGCAAGTGGAATTGCCTGATAGCGACCAGATTATAGCTCGACTACCGACAGTGATCCCGACATTGCGAAGATCAAACTTATGAAGGAACTTTAGCGACGCACACTCGAAGCAAGTCAAGTGACACGCGATCAGAGAGATTTGGCAAGAGCGGAATTGATTGCACCAAAACTAGGATATAGCGACTAAAGTGACTCCAACACCAGCAAAGGTCCGGGGAAGGGAAGTACTGTACTGTATGTAGGATGGGTCGTTTTATCATACTGCATAGGGGTTTGGGATGCATAGGCGAGTATAGTAGCGACACTGGCAAGGGCACGACGTAGCGACAGGTAATAGAACATGCAGCGCTGTGGAGCATGAGGACACATGTAATAAGACCTGCGACTGATGAGTAGCGACATTTAAGGAAATATAACACACCAGCGGAGGTAGGTGGACATAGGCAGGACATGGGAGGGCGGAACACCTAGACGTCGGACCGGGTAGCGCGCTATGGGAGAAAAGTGGTTCCAAAGCGGATAGCTTGGGAGCTGAATAGCGCTGGTGACTAGTGTCTTACTCTTTTCTTCTAGGCAAGTCAAAATATGCTTATGACATTCATACGCGCCTAGCATCGGTATGATTGTCACATCTGCGGGAGACTCGAATACCGACTGTCCCCAGTCGGTCTCATGTCGTGACTTGGACTTAGCAAAAATTCTTGGGTGGCGGAAATTTGATAGAAGCGGTGGACACAATCGATGAACCGGAACAGTGGGTGGAAGTGTGAACACATGGTGATCACGATCGGTGGACTGGAACAATGCAAGGAATAATGGGCACGCGGTGGTCGCGAAGAGTGGGTCGGGGTCAGTGGAAGTGTGGGCTGCTCATCTCATAATTCCTACCATGTCTTCCTTCACATTTTCTGAAGTTGTCAACCCGAATGTCGACAAGCTTCAATGCGCCTTTGCTGACTTGTGACTCAAGTTGGGCCACCTGGTCGCGGCTATTCCTGAGGACCGTCCAGAATTAATCCAGCGCAAGGAAGAATGGCTGCGCGACTGGAACAAGCTAGTGCTAATACTTGTTTACAGTCGCAAAGGAGAGAGCTGCCGCCCACGCTGTTGCAGCAAAGGCGGTGGTCAAGGCACCTTCTGCTCCCGCTCCAAGTTCCTCTGCAGGGCGGGGTGTCCTTATCCGCCACCCTAGGGAGACTCCAGAGGATGCGACTGCCGCCAACTCTGAAGATGAGGAGGAGGGAGAGGAGGAGGAAGAAGAAGAGGAGTCGGTAGAGGACTCGCGAAAGCGGAAGTCGCCCGACAGTTGGGAGGTAGAGTTCGACCTCTTGGCGGATGCTGATGGCGACGAGGAGGATCTCTACCTGGAAGGTAAAGTGCGGGTGCTTTATGCCAAAATGTTGACTATGCAAGGGATGCTCATGGAGATGATGATGGAAGTGGATTCCCTGGCGGTACGCTGCAAGAAGAGGAGGAGGATCCAGTAGATAGTGCTTCCGCGAATCGCATGTTTTTGGACAATTGTTGGCATGCTAGTTGTACAATGTATCCTGGAAATAGATAGTGCTGTAATGGAATTGTCGGGTTGCATGAATATCCTGAGTGATCACATGTCCTGGTCCAGGTAGTCTTGAGTCCTATGTCCCATGTCCAATCCAATGTTCCAATCCTAGCTCCACTGGGTGCCTAAGAGATAAGTAAGGTAAAATGAGCACGTGGTTGCGATGCGGAAGAAAGTGAATGATACTAGTCACAGTCGGGTCAATTGGCGGGGTATCACCCGACTTGGCTTCTTCGTTGCGCTTCTGTTCCTCCTGTCGCTATTTGTGCGCGACTTAGTCCCTAATCACGTCAATGTGCGTGGTGCGCTGCCTACGCGTTCAAAGAGAAAATGTACAGTAATCAATCTTTCGCGCGAAGTAGTCCAATCCTTGTAATGTCTGTGTTGCGATATAAAGTCTATGCGCGGATGGTGCGTAACATATGTGAGTCCTTTGAGAGCGGAAGGATGAAACTGAGGCACCGGACTAAACCCGGGGTGAAACTGAGACTATCGTACTAAGAGCGGTATGTTTTTGTGTTTTTGTTTTCATGAGAGACAGCGGATGTCGGGAATGGGTATATTGGCAGTATTTGAGGAATGCTGGCAGGTCATGCATCGAAGTCGAAATCGAGCACTTCGTCGGGAGGCTCTTCTATGTCTTCGCTTGCTAGAGTATTCAGTGCTTCATCGTCTAAACCTGTGATGCTAGTAACTGAGACTTTAGTTTCGCTGTGTGGAAGGTAAGGAAGTAGGCGGAATGCTGCATAGCGCAGTCGGGACACAGAACCATCTAGTTCTGCAAGGATGTACGACCCGCCCTTAGTGCGGCGGATGACTATCATAGGTCCCAGATAGTGTGGCTTCGTCTTGCGACTTAGCTCGTACTCAACTTTAGAGTTGCGGACTAGAACGAGTGCGCCAGGCGCGAAGTCGTAATCTATGATCGAGCAATGATAGCGCTGTTCAAAGTTGCAGATAGACTGATAGCATGCTTTGAGCACTTTCTCCTTGATATCATTGAGGTCTTCTTGTCGCTTCTGCAATTGTCGGGCTCTCCATGCGACTAGGTCCGTCGTTGAGAAGGTGTCTTGGTCGGGTAGTGCTACTAGAAATGTTCCTTCAGCAAGGTCAAACGGGAAGATAGGCTTGACGCCATGAACCATGAAATAAGGCGTTAGTCCTGTCGCTTGATGAACAGTAACGCGTTCCGCCCAGAGTACCGAGTGCGCGGATTGATACCAGTGCGCCTCATCCCCATCGCAACTTTTCATGATGGCCTCCCGGACATCATAGTGATGTCGCTCAACAATCCCATTAGCTTGAGAGTTGTATGCTGAGACGCGGATCGGGTGAATCCCATAGTGCGCTGCTAGTTCATCAGCTGCTGCGCGGAATGCGGGTCCATTGTCGGTAATGATTTTGGTAATAGGTCCCCATCTGCAAAGAAGTTCTTCGAATAAGAATGCAACAAGGGTCTTGGTATTCTCCTTGCGTAACATGCACCATTCTGGATATCCGGTTAGCGCGCAACGTGCATGGACTAGTTGGTCGAATACGCCTGCTTTAGGCATCATCATACAATCAATATGTGCTCTCCTGAAAATACCACCCAGGATCGGGACAGTCGGGGGAATGTGCAACTTGTGACTTTGCCTGACTTGGCACTCGTGACATGTCCTATTGTACCATTTGATGTCGTCAATAATCATAGGCCACCAGAAGTGTAAGAGAAGTCGGGCACGAATCAAATATACTCCCTTATGTCCAAGGTCGTCATGCGCTTCCTTCAAGATGCGAAAACGTCGCGATTTGGGAACTACAAGCTGGTGTTTTCCTTGAGAGTTGTGCCTCCACAATTTTCGTTGAGGATGAAGTACCACGCAGCGGATGAGATGAATGATTTGTAGTCGTCATCCGATAGGTCTGCGGGTCGCTTGCGGGTTTCTAAAAAGCTTTGGATCTCGATTAATCTGGCGTCAAGGGCTTGCGCATTCTCTGAGCGGGGTATGGTCGGGCTTGCTGGAATCGAGTTCTATGGTGCCTAGGTATGCAATGAGGGCGGGTAAACAGGTCAGCGGGTAAGGTACGGGTGCAGCGTATGGGTATCGCATGATATCAGCTCCTGCGCCTGCAATAGCACAACTTCGATCATTCAGAATCTCGATGCCGAAGGAATATGAGCGGTCAAGCCAATCCTTGTGATCATCATCCTCATCAGGATCTTCCTCAGCGGGTGGTCTCCTTGAGAGTCCGTCTGCTCCAGTGTGCTTTGTAGCGGGTACATGAACAAGCGCGAAAGAAAATAACAATATACCTGTGATCCACCAATTGATGGTTGTGTTAGGTTGGAGGTCGGGGTTATTGATCATTCCTTTGATATACTTCGCATCGACTTCAACCGTAAGGTTGGCGACACCGAAGATAAAGACGCTGAACCGCGCGAAGCGCACGAAATAGGCCGTAGAGCTCTAGTTTCGCTTGAGAATAGCGACTTTTGACTTCCGTAAGGGATATGGATCTGAAGCGGTTTGGATAGCGCTTGCCGTCTTCTCCGACTTGAAGGAGGATGAAACCTACAGCGATGCAAGAGGTGTCAACAGCAAGGATAACTTCGTGACCGCACTCATAATCGAGCGGGAGGAGTGCGGGAGACTCTAATATTGAGTCCTTCAGGGTCTGCATAGCTACCTGTTGGTCTTCGCCCCATTCGAAGGGTACGTCTTTGCGGGTAAGATTGGTAAGGGGTCGCGCGATCTTGGAGAAGTTCCGAATGAAGATGTGCAAGACTCCGCAAGTACCTAGAAAGCCCCACACTTGCGTTACGGTACGACATTCAAGCCAATTGCGGATCTTTTGCACTTTGGAATCTTCCGGCACGCGTCCTTCAAAGGTACACTTGTGTCCGACTATAACAGCGGTAGGAGCGGCTAGAACGAATTTAGCAGCGGATACGGTTACACCAACATTCTCGAGTCGCTGGAGTATGCGGGTTGATGACCTCGCAATGCTCCCATATGAAGCAACATATGCCCGGGTTTAGCGCTATGGTTTCATATGAGCCGTCAGCTCTTTGATACCGCGTTTTAACCGACTTGACGGGCATGTCATCAATAAATGGCAACGTGAACTCTGGGATTTCATCCTGTAGAATGAAAGTGGTATCACCTTAGTATACTTGTACCGCATTAGCGTGGCCTTGCGGAAGTGTTGTCAACCGATGCGGACCCAACGGCGTTCCAAAGGAAGTGAGGTCGCGTGATTCCTCATGTAGCGCGCGCTGGTCGTAACCTGAATATAAGTCCATCATACCATATACCGCATACCCGGCAAAGGATTCAGCTAACTGTTCGACAAAAGGAGGGAGGGATGAGTCTTGGATAGTTACCGCGTTCAGCGGTTGAAGATCATGAACTAGGCGCAAGGATTTTCCGTCTTTCTTGACTACGCAAAACCAGCGTGATCAGTATGCAGCAGTAGACGGTTTGTATACACCCGACTGGATCTTTTCTTTGATGATGCAGATAACTTCTCCAAGGGTTGTGGGCGGGATAGGGATATTACATTGAGACCAAGGAATGTGAGGGATGGTAGGGATTTTGTATGGCGGGAAATATGTTTCATTGAGACGGCCACGCTCGGTCGCATCCCATGCGAATGCTAATTCATGAACCCGAACAAGCCAGCGTATGAGCTTCAACTCGTCGGGCCATAACCAATTAGCGGGGTCTAAGTCCAATTTGTCCGCTCTTTCTTGAGTGAAGCGGATGCCTGGGACGAAATCAGGCGGGTGGGTTGGTAGTGTAGGCATGCCGGCCAAAGGATTGTCGGGTAACCGTCGCATTATTCTATATTCAGGGGGCATAGAAGTTTGTACCGTGTGGACTTTCTTCGCGACTGGCTTGTAAACCAGCGCGCGTTGGGTCTTGTCGAAGGAATATACACTGTTAAATGCGTTGACGGACGAGCGGTCAATAACTGAGTGGGTAGAGACGAGATGGGTATATTGTGCTGTGAATAGCGCAGCAGAAAATGAGTCATGTTTGCTCCGTAAGAGCAGGTGATGCGCGGATGGCGCGAGACGATAGTTAGAACCAGGGAGTAATGTATTAGGACGTGAAATAAGACAGAGGGGCGGGTGTGTATGAGTCCATTTGTCTCCTCGCGGTATAAGCGGATCATCGATCATCAAAATGTCGGAAATTTCCCGCGTGCCTTCGAATTCAATTTAAGACATTTTAAGGGACCTTTTCACACGGCACACTTACAATGCATGTTAATGGTGTACGATAAAATTTCAAGGCACTTATAATGCCTGTCCAAATTATGTTAAGGCATTGTAATGATCCTGGGTAATGCGGGATGAGCCTTACATTTTAAGGCCATGAAATGATAGTGTAAGCATTGTAAAGGGTAGCAAGGCAAATTCAGACAATTTCAAGACTCGTCGCTTGTATTTCGATGCTCTCGCTGGAATTCCCAATTAATATTAATATTAATAATGGTAATAGTAATAATAATAACAAAAAAAAAACAAGTGCGAGCAGAAAGAGTATTCAGCGGTAAGGAAGGTAATAGAACGATGTTGGTACTATCCAGTGCAAGATTATTAGTGAAGCTGAGTGCGAGTGGTAAGGAAGATAGAATTATGTTGCCAATGGTATCCAGCAGAGTGGTGAAGCTGAGTGTGAGCGGATGTGTGAGGTGAATGGGAGTAGGAAGACGGTCCTAAGGAAGGTAGAATTATGTTGGTATCCTGGACCAGTGCGAGAGTGGTGAAGCTGAGTGTGAGTGGATGTGTGAGGTGAATGGGAGTATTATTGGGAAGACAGGTCCTAAGGAAGATAGAATTATGTTGGTATCCAGCATAATAAGAATAGTAGTAAAACTTACTATGATGTTGAAGGGTGGCATTAATTGATGCAGTGCGAGCGGATGCATGTTACA